CTCAATGAACGAATGAATTTTGAGTCATTGGTTTTTCCGATTTACACGCTCAAGACAATAAAGTATTTTTGAAAAAGAATTTTTGCATGATCTCAATGCTTTACTTTGCTTTAAAAAAAATTAATTAAAAAAGTTATTAAGGAAAAGAAACTTTCTAGGTAAATTCGACGGTTGAGAAATAATTTCAATTGCTTTTAAATTGAATATCAAATGAAATTGAAAGTTGCTCTTGATTAAAAATTTTATTTTCAAGTTGAACTTGAAAAATTTCTTAATCTTTCAGTTATGCGAATAATTTGAGCTTCTCTCAGCAATTTTGATTGCCTGTTTAGGCTTGTCTGTTGAAGTACTCGCGTTGAATTTTACTAACAGTCTTACAAATTGTTAAAAAATATAAAGAAAAGAAATTCAATAAAATTCACACATTTTTATTGCCTTCGATTCGAAATTTTCAAATGAACTCTTCAAAGCCTAGTTTACCCCTCAAAAGTTAGGTTCAAATTGGTACAACATTTGAACCTCATTCAGGAGACGTTGAAACTTTCACATTTTAAACGTTTGAAGTTGTAAAAGAATCAGAAAAACTGAATAAAACAGAAAAAATGGAAAATTTGGATTCTCTCGTTAAAGAAATGACGGAAGTGTCAAGAAAACAGCAAGATTTATCAAACTATGAAAACATATCAGAAAACTTGAAGCAAATGATACGCGCATCATTTCATGAAGAGGTTCAAATTCATTTTTTTGGATCAAGAATTATTGGTCTCGCAGAAAAGGATTCGGATTTGGACATCTACATCGAATTTAACAAAAGCTTTTTTGCAAATGCAATAATATCCAAAACAAACGACGAAAGATTATTAAAACTTGCTAAAATAATTTGTCATGCTCCTAATTGGTGTTTAAAGGAGACTGTTTTGAGAACCAGAATTCCTATTATCATTTCAGTCTATAATCCTTTAAATATGGATTGTAAGTTTTGTGTTAAAAATATGTCGTTAGCGAATGCTTATTAATATCTTTTAAGGTGACATTTCAACTACAAACGGATTGTCGACTGAAAATTCTAAGCTCCTTGCTTACTTATTCAAAATTCAACCAGAAGCTGTGTCATTGTTTCATTTCATACGAGAATGGTTGAAGACCAAAAACTTCACTCAATTCAAAGGCTATACGCTTACATTGCTTCTTACATTTTTTTTGCAGCAAAAATGTTTGATGCCAACAATCAGTGCTGTTCAAAACGCAATTCCTGAAGTTCGAATTGATGGTAAGATCCAAGAAACTAAATTGAATTTAAGATTTATTAGTCAAATTCTCATATTTTCAGGCTTTAATGTCAGTTTCGATAATTCCCGATCATTGAATTACTACAAAATCTCTAAAATAACTGATTACAAGAATCATGTTCAAAGCTTTTTCCAGTTTTATGCCGATTTTGATTTTTCTAAGGTTATGTGCCTCTTCACAGGAAAATCTATTGCCTTGTCAAATTATAAACAACGATACCCAAAATTCCTCGCAAAAGGAATTTATCTACCAGGCCCATGCAATAGAGCAAGTAATGGTGGAGTTGTGGATTTTGATTACAAAACAAGATTCGTTAATGTTTGCACAATTTCTCCTAGCTGCCTCGAACTCTTTTTTAATAACAATTTAAAGCTTTAAGTTAAATATGATTTGATTATAAATCTAAAAGATCATTATTTTTCATATATATTTCATACTCATAAAATACTTATAAAAAAACTAAGAATGTAAGCAAAGAATGCTGAAAAAAAATGTTAATGAATAATAAAATTATGGTTAAGAAAGTCAAAGATACATCGTTTCGGACCGTAAATCAGAAGGAAAATGAAACTTTTTCACTCTTTCTGTTCTATAAAATTGAATAAAGTTGAACAGAAACTTCTTTATGAACATTTGTAATTTTGATATATTTGGGAAGATCGAAAATGAGGTCATTGACCAATTGTAATAATTTTCAAATTCATCCTGAAAATAAAATGAAAAAAATTTTTAACTTCATTTCTTTAAGTCTTTAAGTTTTTCCTCTTTATTTATACAAGTTTTTTGTTTTGTTGAAAGTTTGAATACTTTCCTCTTATTATACACAAAATCAAAGTCAATCATCAAAGAACTATTCGTGTTTATAAGCTCAATGAACGAATGAATTTTGAGTCATTGGTTTTTTCCGATTTACACGCTCAAGACAATAAAGTATTTTTTAAAAAGAATTTTTGCATGATCTCAATGCTTTGCTTTAAAAAAATGAATTAAAAATAATCATTTTTGTTTTGCGTTTGATAAAAAAATCTTACTAAACTAAAGGAAACATTTCCTAATTAAATTTACATTTATAATCGCCAAGGGAAGAAGTTTCATTCAATTTAAAGGTTGAGATTTGTTGGCTAAGTTTGAAAACAAGGAAAAATAAAGCATTTGAAGCTGGGACAAGATATCTCAGATAATTTGTTTGACGGCTACGACTGGGAAGGTTGGGAAAATGGAATTATTTACATTTGCTTTAAAATATATTGGAATCACTCTCTAAATTTATCAAAAATATGCTATTTGAATTTAATCATTTTCCATTTTTACAGCCAATATGATTTTTTAAATTTCTTTTTGTTTGTGCCGTTTATCGACTTCCAAAAAGTTCCCCATTTTTATCATTATTAATATTATTTCTTAAACCGCTTTTCCCCTGGTTGTCGCACCACAAACAACTTTTGTTTTACATTCTGCTGAAATCTTCATCCATTAAAATAAAGGAAAAATAATTGATAAATATATATTTTTATATCGGTAGAGAGAATCGCTTATCATCAACAACTTTTTTTTACATATTATCAAAGAGTTTTACGTGTTTGTCTATGAAACTTTTTAAATGAAATTTGAACGATATCAGTGATGATTTCAGATCAATTCTTCGAACGAACGAACGAACGAACTTGGTTGGTCTTATCATTCGACTTCTTCTATCACGAATTAAGAAAAAAAATTGATTACAACTTACAGTAAAATGAACTTGAGCGTCTCGTTAATATTTAAACTTCGTCATAAAATGATTTAAAATATCTAATGAATCTTTTTATCCAACAAACAAAAAAGAGAAATGGAAAAAGAAACAAAAAAAAAGGCGATCATTATTAATTAATACTTTCACTAATCATTAATCAGTTTATGTTGCTGATGATGTTGCTTGGAAATAAAAAAAAGAAGAAGAAGATTGATTTTTTCTTGGTTTCTGTTGGAAGTGTGAATGTACACCATTGGCGCATTATCCGTCTTCTTTTGGAGGAGTAAACCAGCCTTTAAAAGATAATAAAAAAAAAAGAAAATAAGAAATCGATTAATTGATAGACTTGTTTGCTTGTCGTACACTTCACTTACCATTTTTTTCATGTATCTGGACCAGAGACTTAAAGCTTTGTTGGGCACGTGCCAAACTGTATTGACTCTGAGTAAATAGAAGAAAAAAATTAAAATTTTCTTTAATTAAAATCAAATGACGTTTCTTACTTTTGTTGCCCCAAATTGAATGCGAGCTTTTCCTTTCACTAATGTTGCTGAGATTTGCATGATGAGAGCTTCAACTGTGTATGCAGAGCTCCATCCTTGCTTTGTTAACAATTCCATACAGATTGCACCTCCAAGTAAGACGTAGCCCCCTTTTGAAGGAGAATTTTATAACATTAAGGTCAAGATAAGAATTAAAATTATTTACCTGATATGATTGGATGAACAACACGAACGAATGGCGGTTCAAACGGATAAGTCTCCTTAAAAATGATATTTAAAAGAATGCTATCTTTCCCTTCCTTCTCTTTCAACATCAACAAATCATTATGTAATGCACTGTCAGGATCGACAGACATTAATCGAATGTTCCATTCATAAATTGAATCATTCACAAGTTCGATGGAATAAATGTTGCGTTTGAATGAATCTGAACGATAAATGTCGCGAAGTTCTTTCATTAAACGATCTGTCGCCTGAACGCTACCAGAAACGGAACCCTAAATGGAAAGATTTTATGAATCATGGAAATAAAATGAAGAGGAAGCATCAGTAACTCACTCGCAAATAGTCTTGTCTCTGAGTTTGTCTTAATCTCTCCAAAGTTGCCAAATGTTCAACTTCCATTTCATCTTTTTTATTCGCACTGCGTCCATCATCTAACTCTAATGGCAGATCTTCTTCAGCGTCAGAATCTTGATCACTTTCACCAACCACATCTTCATTATCTTCAGGATCTGATTCAAGCTCATCATGATTCTTCATCGGAATCTTACCATTATTGTTTACATATTGGTGCGAGGAAGCCATTGGCGTCGAATGGAACGTATTGAGCTGATGAATTTCGTTCGGCAACGGGCAGGAGTGTATTTTACATAGTTCCATTAATAATATTCTAACCTGAAGTCATTTCAAACATGACAAAGCGCCAGCCGTAACAATAACACGTCGATGTGATGATGGAGAAATGTGAGAAAAAGAAATCATGAATAAATAAACAAAATAAAAAATGAAAGAAATATTTGGAAGAAGAAGAAGAAGATCGTCCACATATGGTTTGGATATGAAGACGACATTGACCGGATTCAAGGATATTTGTTTAAAAACTAAAACTCACTTGATTAATAACATGATTATCTAATCCACTTGTATTGCTAAGTAATTGAATTGCATTCGTAATGTTGGTCTCTTCACTTTCTGCAAACCAAACGGGGGGCGTGTGTGGGTAAGTTTCCTGAAAATGTTTATTAATTGAAAGTAACATTAGTTAGGTAGTTCCGCTAATCGAACGTAATTATAGTGTTTCTAAAAGTACTTGAACATCCCACGATTTCGTGATGAAACGATAAAGAATGAACGTAATTTCTAATACCTAAACATTTCTTCTTAAAAAGTTTTTCTTAGGTACCTAAATTTGAATGATTCTTTTCATTTTTTATTGCATTTCTTTCCTCTTTCACCATTTTTTCAAACACATTGCTTTTGTTTGCATTACAAGTTGGCATCTTTTGTTTACAACACAAAAGATTATACGCATAAAAATCGGCACCACGAATGTGCAGAAAGCAACAAATACTTTGGTTGAGTAACCTTTAAGTAGTAATAGACAGCTTAAATATTGGTTAATCATTTCAATTCAAGAATGTCTGTCGATTTATCAACAGTGAAATGAAAAAAAATATCGGAAATACATCAAATAAGAAAAATAGAAGTGTGAACTTTTGACTTCTAAATTATTTACAATCTGATACAAAGGAGAATAAGTTTCAGGAAGGATTCATAACCCTTGCACACACACAAACTTTTTAAGTTTCCTTTTTATTTGTTTGCTTTGTCTTCTACTTATGCGTACAATAAAGAAAAGTTATGATGTGCCAGATGATTATAATTTTTTTGCTTCACATTTTCTTCTTTTTTTTCCTTCGCCAAATTCAATCGATAAGACTTCGTTGCCCATTGCGAAGCAGGAAAATTTAGAAAGCACTCAATAAAATTTCCTTCTTTGTATGATATTCATCAATTAAGAAAAATTTCTATTCAGCCGATCATCAACCCCATTTTTTTTTTGTTTTTTTCGCTACATTTTTCATACACACACTCACAATATAAAGAAGATCCATTGAAGCTTTTTTTAGGAGGAAAGAAAAAAACCATCATGGACTCACCGTAATATTTGCATGGATGTCGTATTTCTTGCCGTTTTTTGAAATGAATCGACACGTTAGCTCATCAACACTAGCATTAACGATTTGAAAGATCTCATGGCTTTTGGTAAAAAGCTTCTCAAGAGTTTTTATTTCTGATTTTAAGTTGTTTAGACAGATTGCCATTATCAGGCCCTTTTCACTTGAATTCTCGTAATTAATCGCACATTTGACCAAATTCTCTAAAGATTCTCAAACTTGACAACACATATGTCTTTAAACGCAACTTCAGATATTTTATTGTTACTTTCTGCGGATTATTAATGACTTTTTTCTCGGGTTTAATTTTTAAGTTGAATATTTCTTCTCGATTCGAACTACTAATTGATGCAAAAAATTATTGAAAGATGCGAAATAATATGATTATCGCATCTTCTATTAACTTGTTTGCATCATTTCTTTCTATAATAAACAAATAAAATTAAATTAAACAGTAATTAAAGAATAAATAAGATTATCAATTTGAAAAAAAGTTTCTTGAAAATAAGAAGTTATTAAAAATTTACCTATTAAACTAAAATATCGGGCATCATAAACGGGGTTTCAAAGCGAATATACATAATAAAATAACGAAAAATTTGAAAAGTGAAGCGAAATTTTTTGGATTTAAGATCTTAGATCCAAAAAAACGCATATTTCCTACTCCTGTTCTACACAAACGCGAAAAACTTTCTTGATTTTCTGGTAAATTGCATTGATAAAACACTTCAAACAGTTAATGTAGTATAAATTATTACTCACATATGTGTCGGGTAATCAATGTGCAAATATTCAACACCGAGAAAATATAAAAACTGTCAAAAGTCTTAAAAGTGTGTTTTTAAAAAGAGAAAATTAAAGATTGAAAACTCTTCAATTTGCAGTTTATAATAGCGCTTTTGTATTATTCTATAATCTTGTAATAAACTAAAACCAAACAGTGATTGTTATAATTCATTGAATTATATCAAATAAGAGATTTTTAGAATTTGTAAGTCGCTTCCTCCATTTGCATATTTTAAGTCGTATTTACTGTGTTATTGCATTAAATTCTTATCAACATAGTATCGCTTTACTATCATCATGTTATACTCTTCCGAATATTCATGTAAATAAGTGTAAAAAATTAAATTTCACGATTGTTTGGTTACTTCCAGGATCAAATCGAAGGAGCGACTGAATCCAGTCAACATGTCGGAGCCATCATACTCTGATGGTGATGTTGTTTGGGTAAAATGGAATAGATGTTGGTGGCCAGGTGAAGTTTGGAGCTCTTCTCGTGTCCCAGAAGATATGACAACATCCCCAAAAAAGCCAGTCATTGCTTATGTGAAGTTCTTTCAAGAGGAAGCATTGTAAGTTATTGCCAATGCCGGTTAAATCCATCAAAATTGACTATTTTTGTTCTATATTTCAGTGAGTTTGTTTGTAATCAGAATAACATTATGAATTATCAATGTGACAAGAAAGAAGAATTTATTAAAAAAGGAATGGGTAACTTACTTAAGAATTTATTAACTTAAATAATTTGTTAATAATTTAACTTTACTTTGAAGACAAATATCGTACACGAAGCAAGTTTATGTCAAACTTTCCCGACGATGTTGTCAAAGCTGAACGTTTAACTGGAGGTGATGAAAAAATTCTTGAAAATTTGACTTCTCCAATTAAAGACAAAGCAAATACATCAATCAAAGGCACAAGAAAATCTCTTGTTGAAAGTTCGCCTGTAACAGAAACAAAGAAACCACCTGGAGCATATAATTCTGCAAGTAAAGTTCAATTGACTTCAAACTCACCACAAAAATCTGATAAAACAATGAGTTGTAAACTGTGTGACTTTGCCACCGATCGAATGAACTTATTAATGATTCACATGAGAAATCATTCCTTAACATTTGCTGCAAAGGGTACTGGTAAGTTTTTATTTAAAGATTTCTGTAAGAATCCTGTAACTGTAATTAAATTCTTTAGATTCGTCACCGGTTGAAGTGAAGAAAAGTTCTCCAGTTAAAAGTAATTTCAAGAAAACAACAACATCGAATGACAGCATTGCTGATGATGTTCGTAAAATCAAAGAGTCGCTAAAACCAAAGCAATCAACATCACGCGCTAAAGCATCTCGTGGAGCAATAAAAAATGTTCAAGAGAAGGAAAAAGAGAAAACAAGAAGCTCTTCACGAAAAGATGAAAAGGAAGAAGAGAAACCAATTATAGAGAAGGTTGAAGAGAAGACCAAAACCAACAATGATCTTCATAAATTACTTGCTGATTGGGCAGATGATGATATCGATGAAAATATTGAAATAAAAAAAGAAACAAACGATGCAAAAGAAAAATCTCAGGGTGAGTTAATATTATGTGTTTAAAATAAACCTAAGAGGGTTTTAGATTAAACAAATCTTTTCTTAATTTTGGCTGTTCAAAATTACATAAAAAATATCAAATCTGACTTTAATTAGAAATTATGTTTGTACGTTTGGCGGTAAACGTAGAGATCACGTAAACTTTAATTATATGAAGTTGGCTTTACATAAAGTATACGTAAACTTTACGTATGCTTCTATCTAGGTAGTAGTCTACGTTGACCAAAATATGACGAATAAGGTAGTTTTTAAACTAGGGATAGGTAGAAAGAGATAAAAGCCCTTTCAGTAGTTTTATATTATTCTTAACAGAAGAAGAAATGTGAAATACTTTCAAATTGATTGAACTTTTTGAATATTTTCTTAGATGTTTCGAAAGAAAACTCATCGAAGCCACATGGAACGATAGAAAAAGTTGGAGAACCTTCCAGATCAATCCGTAATATTCCCAAAAAACGAATCAGTGAAGTTTATAAGCAACCAGAGATTGTCAAGCCTAAAATGGAAACTGAATCAATTGCTGTATGTGAAGAGTCCTCAAACACGAAAACAACTCCTAAGATGAGCAAACGAAAGTCAGCAGCTTCCGAAGCTGCAATTATTGTTGAAAACAAATCAGAGCTTAAAGTTGATGATGAAAGTGACGAAAAGCTTTTGTCTGCCACCGCTGAGCTGCTCAATTCGATAGAAGTGCCTAAGTTGGAGAATTCTCAATCATCATCAACATTCCACGAGTCTAATGATATTGACAAAAAGAAATTACCACCAAAGGAGAGAAATAAGCGAATGCTTCGTGACAATTTAACAAATGAATCGACAATTAAGATGAATACCGACAACAATGGAACGAATCTAAATGATGATGTTAAAAAGACTTTGATTCAAAGAGAAGTGATGTTACCACATAAAAAGAAGCATTCATCTCGTATAATGTCGCCTGAAAAGCCTTCACCTGTACGTGAAACGCGAAATGTTCGCGATGTTAAACAACTTGACTCATTTGAATCACAAAGAACGCGTCGGAAGAGAAAATCGAGTGACGTTAAGTCAAGTTCAGTGGAAATAAAACACGAAAATGAACATGAACATAAGCATGATGAAAAAGATGAGGACGAAGAATTATCAATAAAGTTAAAGATAAGCAAAGAAATGGTAAAAGAGCAAAGTCCACTTCGTGAAGCTCAAGTGGAAAGCTTAACACCTTCTGACGGTTATATGAGACACATGAGAATGAAACGACGCTTATCTGAAGAATCATCAACACCAATTACTTCTGATGATCTTGATACTTGCTCTGAACCGAAGAAACTTCACAAATCTGACACTGAGAAAGAATCACGAAAGATTGTCGCGTGTGCCACTGAACCGATTTGTATAACAAGCAAAGGAAATTTGTTAGTGTCAAAAGTAACGACAGCAACTACCACACAAGCAAATACAGTCACTGTCACATCTCAAGTTATCATAACAGAAGCCACACGATCACCAATCGTAGCAACCGCACAATGCTCGGAAGTAAAATCACAAGTCACATCGACATTAAAGATTTCGTCGACAAAAACTGCTTTGAAATGTCCAGCTGAGAATTTAATTGAAATGAAGAAACAAGGATTGGTAACGACAGGTCACGATAAAAAGAATAAATTGACGGAGAAAGGGAAACAAATCTATAAAGAGCAGAAGATAAAAGAAAAGACTGTAGAAGCGACATTGGAATGTGTTGCTGAAAAAGATCTAAAGAACCAACACGCTGACGAAATGGAAATAAAAAGCTCTTCTGATGTCTCTCCAGATGTTAATAACAGTTCATCAGTTGCTGTTAACGATGATACTTCAGTACTTGTACCAGTGTTGGATTCAAAAGAAAACGCTGATGAAAGTCCCATAGAAGAGCAGCAAGAGCAGATTCCGTCAGAGTCAATTGTCGATGAGAGTACAAATAACAATGATATTGATAAAGAATCAATTGTTAATGTTGTTGCATCGCCATCAGCCAAAGAAATGAATGTGGATGAGTCTACAATGCAACAAGATCCAATTGAGAATGGAAAAGAAGCGGAAAATGAGGCATCGACAACAACGACAACAGCAACGTCAGCAGTAGTTGAAGATCCAAACAGTAGCGGTGCTGGTCTTATCGCGATGCAAGCTGAAACATTTGGTGGACCTCCAAATTGCTTCTATTTGTGTCGTCAAATTGATTCAGACCGATATGAACCAGTTGACAATCAAATTCTAGTGTTAAACGCTCAAAATGCTTTGGTTCCTTTGGAAGGTGAAATTATGGATGATCCAATTGCATCTCAAGATTCAAATATCATCATCAACACACCTTCGGGTCAGAAGATTGAATTGAGTCACTTTACGATAATGGCTTTGCAAGAAGAAGCTGACGAGAATGGCGTGGCAACAGTTGAACTTGGCGGGGAATCTTTGGAGTTGAATATTAATTTAATCCTTGAAGCGATTAGTCAACAACAAGATGCCAATGAAACTGAGACACTTCTCCCCGCGGCAATGCTTCTTGATGGAGAAACTTTAATCTTAGAGCCATCTGAACTACAAACCGAAATTCATCACTCAGCAACGCAAGTGTCTGAAACACTCTCAAAGCCTATAATGTCAACAACAGTTGCACCTGAAATCACAAGCACGACAAAAGCTACAATTTCCGATAATGTATCAAAGAATTTAAATATTGAAGATAGTTTGGCATCGATTGGTGTGACAACCCAACAAATACGATCGAATGTGCCAAAATCATTGGAACTTCCAATTACCGTTACTAATCCAACAATTGCAGGTAGGTTTAAAATTTAAAAACATTTTTGATAATTTAATTAACTCTTTTCATTTATTTAGAAACTGTAAATCATCGAAAGTTGGCAAATGCACCGGCTTTAAGTGACATTATCGATGCCAGTTCCGTTGTTGTACCGGAAAACTTTATCGTTCAAACAAATGATAACAACGCCTCTGATGTATCATAAAACAACATAAATTTCTAGAAAATCTATGAATATTGCAAAGAAATGTAAAGAAGAGAAAAATTTGTCTTTCTGTTATCAAAGTTTTGATATAAAAAAGATCATTAAGATGTCATTTTTTTTTTTGTCTGTTTGACTAAATATTAAGTTTAGTTTAGTGCCTCCCACTTTAAACCTTTCGCGTTCTTTCTCTGGTGCTTCGTTATCACCATCATCCAACAAGAGGAAATAATTTCGCAATTCTAGTTTGTTAAGATAAATAATTATGAGAAATATTGAACAGAAAGAGAAAATGTTTGATGACATTTGAATAAGAATTTTTTTTCTAAATTATTCAGCAGTTTTTTAAAAGCTGATAAGAAAATGACGTCGTCAGACATAAAAATATATTTCTGATTACATTTAAGAATTCTTTCGAAATGTTTTGGTTTTTTAACGATGAAGATGTTTTGAAGGAAGGAAATAAAAATCGATTTGAATTGAACTTCATGACGTCATGATGGAGAACTTCTCGTTTAAGCTTCAACGCTGAGCATTAAAATTAAAAAAAAAAAGAAGATAAAGGATTGTAATATTATTTATAATAAACTTATTGTGTTTCTTTTACTTTTGTTGTTAGTTTTTTTTTAGGATTCTTCGTTGATTGTTTTTTAATATTTCATATGGAATTCCTTCTTGATGATGATAAGAATAGTCAGTCAAACTTTTATTGCTGTTTTGGAATTAATATTTAGATAAGCAGATAAGAAATAAGATGAGCTCAACCATTCTGATATGCTATACATTTATTTGTGCACATAAAAGTTTATCGAAGAATTTGCTTGAATTCGGAAATAAATCATAAAAAACGTTTTCGTATCAAGGATAACTTCACATGGGGGAAACGCTGCATGGTGCAGATGATGATACGACGTCACCTTGACCCTGAAACATCACGCGACTATCACAAACATTTATTGCCCTTCCACAAAACACTAACAAAACACTCTAATCATGATTCCGTGTATCCACTAAGACTTTATTTTTATAAATTTAATTTTATTCACAATTAGAAAAGACGTCTTTCTTCTAGTTAAAACGGAAAATAATGGAAATTAGATAAAAGTTTAATACTAATGTTGTTGAATTATTTTCTTTCTCTTTTTGACGCAAATCTTTTTTTTTAGTTAACAGAAAATTAATTTTTTCTCTTATCAAACTTAAAAAAAGAAAGAAAAGTAATCAGTACAAAAGATATTCACGATGAAATCTTACACTGAGCTACACTACATCCATTTGTGTATAATTTTCCATTCATTTCCCGTTTATACTTCATGCAACTGTTTTTTATTATTATTTGGTTTTCTCATAGACACAACATATTTTAAAATAGAGTTAAGGGTGCGGGAAAGTCAGCTAGAAGGATATTGGTCAAAAATGCAATGATATAAAGTGGAAATGGAAGGAAATTGTCAATGAATGTGGAAAAGTGAAAAATCTAATCATTCAATTTTTTTCTCACTTTCTCTCACTTTGTTACTTTTTTTATAACAAATCAGGCAATTTTCATGAAAAATTCATTCTCCTCAAGTTTTCATGTTTTAAAGAAGAAACAGAAAGTTTTTTGCAGAAGAACAAAGAAAAATGTCTTCCTGCGCTTCTTGGATGGACTGTTAATTGATTAATTTAAGTCTCTAGATTTGGCGCCAAAGCCTAAACAAATAGAAAAAGAAAAGTTTGCTGTTCTTCTTTTTTTACCGACAACAAATGAATTTCTTTTTTGTTTTACTAAAGCTGTTGGTTGCTTGTGTCCTTGTACAGTTTTATTTCTGCGATAAGATCTCTCAATCTTCTTAATTTTTCTATGTATGTATAAGAGTGCGTTGTTATTGGATTTTTGCTACTCAAGTGGAGTGAGTGGCTGCCGATTCTAAAATTATTCAAATGCTTCTCTTTTTTTCATTTTATATTTTTTTTGACGCTCAATTTTCTTGAATACTTAGCCGGGTCTTGAGTCGGGCAACAAAGAACAAAGACAAATCTTTTTTCCCTCATCCATCCATGTCCATTCAAAAGTTTTTCCATTTCTTGTATATTTTTTTTGTTTTTTTTTCATTTTTCTTTCATTACAGTTAACATTTAATTATAATTCGAAGAAATCTTTCATGGGCATTGTTTAATAAGTGTTAAGTATATTTTTTTATCCACTTTGTTAATCTTTGAGTTTCTTTACAAGATAAATTTACGATTTTACTCGTCACAAAAGAAGAAAAAGTTAACGGAAGGGAAAGAAAATTAAATTTTAAGGAAAATTAATAAAAAATAAAAGTTTAGGTCTTCTCATGTCTTCTAGATTGTTCTTCATTTAATTATTATTTTTTTAAATCAGAGTTAATTTATCTTGAATCAACACGGGTAAAGTAAATAAGAATAGAACTAAAAACATTTAAAGCTTTCTAGGATTTAAAAAATCTTTTTAATTAATTAAATATACAGAGAAGAAAAATAATTGAATACGTGCAATTTTGAAAAAGATTTACTTCCGAATGTGCAACAGCAAAAAAATTTGGTGAAATTGATGCATCGGCAAAAAGTTGTTGTGTGCATTTGTTGTGTAAATGATGGCATTAGAGGGCCTAGCTGAACAAATTAACCGCTTTTGAACAATAGAATTGCTACTTGGCCCAAGTAGAAATAGATGAAATGACGCGTCTCGTGAGTCACATAAGATCCAAAGTTGCGTCCAACAATGCAATGCCAAGTTGGATTATATTTTTTGTCGAACTCTTTCTTAATATAAGCAGCAATATCCTGCGAAAAATGAAAGGAAAACAAATGTAAATATGAAAATTATTCCACCACGTAGAACACAATAAATAATTATGATAAAATATGGTTCAAGGTTCTTATCAAATGAAACACTTTTTCTTCTAAGTATTTGAAAAAGCTCAACATCAATTCGTGAGTGGGAGTTTAAAAGAAAAATATCCACCTACACTTTAAACCTATCCACAATCTGTGTCAACCTCATAAAGGAAAGAAAAAGTAATAACATGCCATGCTGAATGTTTTATCGAGGAACAGAATGTTCGATTATGTGAAAATATAAAAATAATTTTATTACTTTTCATGCATGCAACTTAACAGTTGTACTTAAAGAAAGTAAAACGCGAAATGCCATTGAATTTTTTAGGATAGATGATATTAGAATGTATTTGGAAAAAACACAAAAAAATGTCACAATTATGGTTTTGGGACCCAAATAAAGAAATTCGCTCACTTTGTGACTGGTATGCATGCATAAAAGCAATCGCGTATTGATTTTTCAGACTTTTTTTCATGACTGTTGGATCAATCGTTTCAAGGGGAAGTAGCTCAGTGATTTATTTACGAGAAGAAAAGCTACCTTTTATTTGCAAAAGGATCTTTTTTAATTACCTTTTCAATGTTATATTTTTCAAGTGCTTGAGTAGCGCAATCGACAGCATCTTGCTGCATCTCTTCACCCATATCAGCGTTCTTAATCACTGCCTTTCTATCACTCATTTTGTTGTGCTGTGGATTGTCTGGAAGAATAGCGTTGAAAAAATTTGTGTTGAGTCAATAATTTTATCTTGACATTTAAGCAGGGAAACATTTTCTTGTTGGTTGCTAGATATCTGCGATTGATTTATTTTCCAGAATTTTCTCCGTGTGAGAAGAAAAAACTATTTTTAGATTCACTAAAGCAGGAGAGTGCAATAAGCTAATTGTTGGAGAATTTAACAGTAGTGTTTTTGTTTTAGGAGCTTTTAGCAACCAACATTAGGGACACAGAAGAAATTTGGGCACTTTTTTTATTGGTTAGAGAAGAAGCTGGAAATTTTTACTCACTTGTTTCGTCTCAAATTGGAATTAATTAATATTAACACGGGTTTACTTCTTTAGTTTTTAACAATATTATCAGTTAAATGCTGATTTCAACTTCGTTTAATACTTAGTATCTTGTGAAATTCTAATTCAACGCCACCAACGAAATGTTTGCTTCGAAATTTTCTACAATATGTCCTCCGATCAAACTTCCTCTAACATCGAAAAATTGTTCTAAAACCTCTAAACATTACTGTACTAAGGAAGCAAAATTTCGCTTCACTTCGTAACAATCTTTCTTTTTCTGCATCATTTTGCAAGTGAGGTTCGTGTAAAATTATTTTTATTTAATTTATCATTCATTTAATCAAATAAGATCAATGCTTAATGCATAGTCAATCTTATAAACCCATATTCTACTTAAAATGAATGAACGTTTACACAAAAGACAGACGTTTTTCGATAATTTCATAAAAGAAAAATATTCAACTTCTCTTAACCTGAAATGAGGAAACAAAAAAATATTTAAAAGCAAATTTCTGTTGTTTTTCTTTCTCAGAATCATCATTTAAAATGGGTGCATATGCAAGAGAGCCCGAGGTTATTTCCAAGTCGTGTAAGTCTCGTGGAGACAATTTACGTGTTCACTTCAAGGTATTTATTTTAAATTTAAATCTTCTTCAATTGATTTTTATGCAAATTTCTCATTTCAGAACACACGTGAAACGGCGCTGGCTATTAAACGTATGACTCTTCGTCGTGCTCAACGATTCTTGAAGAACGTTACCGAGAAAAAAGAATGCGTTCCATTCCGTCGGTATAATGGTGGTGTTGGCCGATGTGCTCAAGCTAAACAGTGGGGAACATCAATTGGTCGTTGGCCAAAGAAATCAGCTGATTTCCTTCTTCAGTTGTTGAAAAACGCTGAAGCTAATGCCGATTACAAAGGATTGGATATTGACAGATTGGTCATTGACCACATTCAAGTGAGCAAAATTAGAAAATGAAATGAAGTTTGTGAGTGAAACTTTTCTATCTTTTAAGGTCAATCGTGCTCCATGTTTACGTCGTCGCACATATCGTGCTCACGGTCGTATTAATCCTTACATGTCTTCACCTTGTCACGTAGAACTGACACTTACAGAAAAGGAAGAGATTGCACCTACGAAACCAGCCGAAGACGAGCCAGCCAAGAAGAAGCAATCGAAAAAGAAGCTTCAAAAGCAAAAGGAGAAAATGATGCGTAATGAATAAGCTTAGCGTCATTGGAATAATTTTCTTGTGTTTTCTAATTGAGATCATTCAACATCAATAAAAAGGTCCTTGATACAAACAAAAATAAATAAAAATTTGGCTTTTAGAAAAATTAAATTTTTATTCACAGTTATTTACAAACATTCTGCTTTCACCTTCGGATGTATTGTTTTACAGCCGGTGTAAGAGTATTTAGTTACAGGACAGAAGCTGATGTAATTCTTTATTTGCTCAATCTCTTCTTTTGTCACTGATTCCTTTCCGAAGCTCTCAAATTCTGCTTTGATGCATTGTGTAACGTGTCTTTCTTCAAGAGGTAGGAAAGGGAGATAAAAGTCAATAACAGCTGATTTAATTAGATGACTATCTTTGAGTCCACCTTGTTCATTGAACACACCGAGTCTGTTGATTTCCTCAAAATGATGAAGTTTGGTGTCATGTCGGTATAGTCGTTCTCTGTTTGTTAAGTGAAAAAGCGTTTTAGTTATTTCCTCTGCCCCATAGTTTGTAAGGAAAATGAAGATTGATTTCCTGTAGCTAATACCGTTAACACTATTATGGTGATCTAAAAGATTCTTGATGCTGTCGAAAATTCCTTCAGGCATTTTGTCTACTTCATCGAATACTATAATTGAATATGGACATGTCTTTACAGCCTCTTGAACCTTATTTTTAACATCTTTTTTATATACTTTTATTAAATCACTGTCACTATACTGAGAGCCATGAAATACATGATAGAATTTGCTTTCAGGTCCTTTCTCAAAAACAGCTTCAGCTATGAAATTCGATACAAAATTTTTTCCAGTTCCTGGTGATCCATGAAACGACATAACCAGAGGCTTTTGAGATTTCTCAATCTTCTTGTAATGAGATGCTACTGCTTGAAAAAGTTTTTCTTTGACTATGTGTTGACCAAATAAACGATTTTCGAGGCTATCTTGAAGTTTTTCAATGTTAAAAGGAATGATGTTATCTGAGCAGCATTCCCGGTATCGACAATATGTATTTTCCTTAATCACATCAAAGTATTTAATTCCAAGGCCTGATGATATCCCAAATAAAAGAGTAGTCGAAATCGGCTCTATACAATATCCCGTCTGAGCAAACAACAGCACTAAGAACGATTTTAATAAATAAACGCAAATTGACTTAAGTGACATGGTTGATTTTCTAAAACTATAGTACTTTCACACTTAAATTTAGATAATGGAAAGATGTAAAAAGGATTTAAACTTAATTTCAAAGATTTTCTTTGAGGTTTCAATATTTTTGGCGTTTGTAAACAAAGTTTCATACAACAGCTAAAATATGAACATTACAACAGCTTTCATGTATTTTATTAGTGTTGCACGACAGAACGATTTTTTTACCTTTCATTCTAGCTTTAATCTTTCATTCTCTTAAGGGTGTCAGTGAATAAAAGTTATTTCTTCAAAGTCTTTAGGTATCACTCCAAATGTTCAGAAAGAAACGTACTTCAAAAAGTAAGTAAACATTATTTTAGATTAATGATCAAGAAAGACGTTTTAAAGGTTGAAAAGTAAACAATGAAGAATTGTTGAAGGTGGTGATATTTTCTAAGAATGGACATGTATTTATTTTCTTAATCTATTATTTAAAAAATGATTTGTTTTTGTCGTGATTATAAGTTTAGAACATTTGAGTCATCAAACTGGTTCTTGGTCATCAGCAATCTTATCTGCTTCATATAACCAAAAGTTTGTGCAAGATTTATTCGTAAGCAACAAGAAGTTGTTTATGTTCTGACTGATGATATTGTTTCAGTAGAACAGTGATATCATTAATGACGAAATTCGTCTGCGAAAAAAAATCAAGCGTGTTATCATCATCAGTTTACAGTACAATAATAATTGTATTTGAAAGCGATAACAACTATTTATTGAAGCATTAAGTTGTCGAATATTTCCTTCAGTATCTTTCTAACTTACAACCGAGTGTTCTGTGCATCTACATGCTACTATTTTTATTGCATGTATTTAAATTTTAAACATCATATAAAAATAACTGAAACATTTTATAGTAAATATATAAAAAGTTAATTGAGCTTTGTTAAACAACAGAAACTGACGAGAGAAGTGTTAATTAATATAGATTTCAACCAGATCAATCTGAAGCAACTCACCCAGTGAGAATATGTGTAAATAATCTTTTTCTCACATATATTTGAAACAAGAAAATCTGCTGTTTGTCTGTTATTATAGAAGCTAAAACTCTACGTTCGACGATGTAGAATGTTTCTATTTACTTTATCGATTAAGTAATACGTCAAAAAAAGCAACAAAAAGAGTGCGTTGAAATAATAAAATATTTGTTATGATGAGATGATGAGTCGCTATGCTAACAAATCAATTAAAGTTAATTTGAGCCAACGACATTTCGCTTTATTCCACAAAAAAAAGACTATCTAACTGAATTCTCTCTTTCTAATTCTCACATTTTCTTTCTTCCTTTTCGTTCACAAATCGAAAAAGCGATCGAATGTTTTAATTTGCTTTTTATTTTCGTTCCATTAAATAGATACAAAGTCGTTTTTCGAAGTTATTAAGAGAAAAACCGTTCCAATGAACGCAGGTCGTCATTTTTTGATAAAAAGTTTGAATGTTTGGGATAAGGAAGTTTTACATAAAACAAGAGCAAATACAGATCGTGATTCGACTTGAACCTTTTTTCTAGCTTCATAAATATAAATTTTTGTGTCCTATGAGAACGAAGAAGGAAAGTAGCAATCAGAAGTCACATAGCAGTAGACGATAGTGAAAGCAAAAGAATACGATAGAAAAAAAATCAGTGAATGAATCAACATGAAATAGAGAGAAAAGCGAGCGGCTCAACTCAACCTGTCTGTTGAGTAGCGCAAAAGGAAAACTCGCGCGTTCAGTTGATGTTTTGAAGTCATTCAATTTCCACGCGACGACAGGAGTTTATGGGGAAAAAATATTTTAGTGAAAAGATATTAAATGAACATGGAATTAGAAGTAAAGTTTATAAAAAAATTATTAGAGCATAAAAAGTGACAGTTTGAAATAATTACTAAGGAAACTGCTGGTTGGATGATAAATGTACACAAAGTGCTGTTTAATATTTGATGGAAAATATTTAGCTAAGAAATAAATATATTTTATTGAAAATTTGTCAGAAAAGGGCATCAAAAAAATTATTATCTAATAATAAAAAATAAAATTAAGAGTGGAGAAATAATAAAAGTGCTGATAACACAATGGAAAATAATCGCGATGATGACAGTGAGTAAACATTAAGTTCACCGACTTTACGTTTGTTCATTTGTCCAATTCAACATAATCGATTGAAATGAAATGAAAAATGAAAAACATAATTGAAAAGAAGTACGAAAAAAAATCGGAAAAAAATAAAAGCAGAGCGTGGGAAAATATTAACATGTGGAATCATAAAAAATCGTAAAAGAAATATTTTAAAAAAACAAACTAATCTCACTTTTATCCATCAGATGAATTAGGAGAAAAAGTTTCATTCAGAATTCTTTCACTAAAAATAGCGATCAGTGATGGCAATGAGATGCATTTGAAAAAAGATTTAAAAAATAATAAAATCGGACTTCAAAGGTCAGCGATGAAAAACTGCCCAATTAAAAAGAAAACAAAGCACTGAGAACTGATCTGAAGAAAATTTCAAGATCTTACTACGTCAATAAGTGATAATAATATTTTTAGTCCAACATTTTTCAGAAATCTTTCCTTGCGAAACTTCTTAACATTTCTCCAATGAATGAACAAAAAAGAAGAAAAAATGTTTATTTACAAAGTTTTCATCGGCAGAAAATTTTCACGATCTTTTATGATTTATATCTTGAAGAAAAACAAAGTTATGCGCAATTAAATTTTCAAATCGCTTGGCATAAATATTTATTTATGTAAACTTAAACGTTCAATAAGAATCGTTTGTAAATATCAGAACATTATGATTGTTGGAAAAGTTCGATAGCTGAACAGAATATTGCTGACAGATAAAGAATTATTAAAATTTATTCTGATTTTCCTTGTTACAGTCATTGTTTGATGATATAAGCATCCTTGTGGATAGTTTAAAGAAAATCTAAGCATTAATCTTCATAAACCGATCAAGCAAGTTAATCTATTTATTAAATTTTGCATCAATGTTGACTAATAAATACGAACGCTGCACATGTGAACTAGATATATAAATTTATAGCGTCTAGTATAATGAAATTATTCCCCGATAGTTATTTCGGAAGAGAAATTTTGTGTGGGAGTAAAATATTGCGCAATTGGCAGTGAAAAAAAAGAAATAAAACAATATTTTTCTACTGAATGAATGCTCGATGGCATTCAAATGAATTTTTTCTTCCTAAGAATTAACGACGCGATTTCAATGTTTATTACTTTTCACTACTGTTCATGGGGCTTGCGATGAATTTCTAGATCACGACCGTTTTTCACGACAATTTTTACATATTTTTTCTGTTTTCGCTATGAAAATGTTTTTTAAACTCTAAATTTCCTTCCTTCCTTGACTTTCACGTTTCTGCTCTATCCACTTTCAGAATTTCAATGGCGATCGCTTTCAAGGCAACATTATTTGCATTTTTAAAGCCGTTTGTATAAAAGATTAAAAAGAAAATTCTTTATTCGGATGTTCATGTAGTCTTCAATCGATATATCTACATAAGTATAAACAAATTTATGCATTCTTCATATTAAACTCAAACTTCGGATGGCTGGAAAATCTCAAACAAGCACGAGTAAAGTTTTTAAAGAAACATTATGCTGGTTAATCTATTTTAAAATACCTTGCCATATGACGTGAGTTGATGGAGGAGTGCTCGCAAGTAAATTGAGTTATTTCCTCTTAATATAAATAAAACGCTTTGACATGTCGATGGGAAATTGCAAAGTCGATGGAGACAAATTATAAAATAGTGAGGTGGGGAAAGCAAATCCTCACGTCATTTAATGAAAACATTCACTTTAGGATTGACCTAAAGCATCATTTAAAGAGTGCACCAACTGTCTATGAGGGATAAAATGAAACAAGTTGTGAATTGAGTATTTAACGTTAAAATTAAACAGAAAAAGTTGTTCTTCGTTACCCAAAATATTATTCCGACTGTCACGATAAAACGTTTCATCAGCGTAATTAAATGATAACGGTTCGGTTGTTGCGACCCTTGGGATATATAAATAAGATTGTAAGAGAGTCTAATGTCTTGGATCTGCGTCTTGAATTAATTAAAAAGATGGGTAGAAAAAGTATTTGAGGAAAGTTGTCTCAAAGTGAATTCGCACTTTATTTTTCGGTGTAAAATAAGATTTTTAATGTTTTTAATAAGAAAATTGTTGAAACTCTTTGATCCTTAATTTTAGAGTGAAAGATTAAACAAAGATATTATTTTATTAGAATAAAATTATGCGTCAACTGTTTGAGAAAGCTTTTCTGATCTCAAGATATCTTCAACTTTACTTTTACTTGTTCTTCTTTGATTGAAGAACTCAGAAATGATTTTCACTTATATACGTCAATGATAAATAAGAATGAATTGTTTATGTATAATAATGAATCGAATATCAAGTCCATGTGTGCGGTTAATAAACAGAACTTATATTGATTGTTATTCTCACTTTGTAGACGATATTTTTTCTTGCATTCGATTGCTTCATTAATCAATGAATTGGTTCTCGACAGTTTTTTCGTGTAAACAAACAAATGATTCGATACCGAACAGCACACATAGCAACTTTCCAAGATTTTAATTGTTTTCGTACAATAAAGAAAGGCAAAGCATGAAGAAAATTATTTAACTCAACAATGTTGGATGTGAAGAAAATAAATAAAAAGAAAATTAATCATTCTTACCTACCAACCTACATAGGTCGTTCCAATAGAAAGCTCAAAACAATCCGAAAAGTAAGAAAAGGAAAGCTTTGATAGGATTGAAAGCCTTCCACTGATTTTCTTTCATGTTTTACTTTCAATAGACTTAACCGACACTTTAACTTGTATGAGAAACTTCAACTTACTTAATAACATTTAAAAATCCTCTTATTCAAATTTCTTTATTTCCTTTCCAACCACATACACACACGCACATGTTTCATATCGTAAGCCTTTTAAATGACGAAAAAGGACAGAGGAAAATAGTCAAAGAAATCACATTGAGGGATTATTTAAGTTAGCCTTAGTAAGTGTGAATAAAAAAGGCAGAGTCAGCTAAACAAATACAAAATGATGGGTTCAAAAATATCAATCATTACATATTTTGAATGAACTCATTCAGGGTAAAGGTGAAAAAAGGTCAGAGAGATTTATCCCATCATAACTTTTCCATTATAAGATTTATTTTCTGTTCTCGTTTCATAATATTTCATTTCTTCTCGGAAGGATGATGATATTAAAGTATTATACTGAACCAATATTGGGTAATAAATTCCACAGTCGATCTAACCAACGAACGCGAATAAATTTATTGTTTGCAACCTTGAATGCGTTTGAACGTTAAGCAGACGTTTGAGAATGTTTTCCTTTGTTCCTCTCTTCATTCCGTTTTAGGTTGTCTCAGTCTCAGTTGAGTGAAATTTCTCAGTCAAAAACCTTTTATCTTTCATTCTTCCTTTCTTTTGTAGTATCCTTGACAATGCGGACGACTTTAACCAAGTGGAAAGCTCAGATCCGTATTGTACGATAGATATTTGAAAACTTCAAGTTATCACTTTGAGAGATCCTTGAATGTTTCGTAGAAGTTCACTTGATGTTATTAAATATCTTGCAAAATTATAATTAAAACATCGCTTCAAGCTTTATTTAACACTTCAATTTAGAGCAGATAGATAAAGATTAATTTAAATTATTCATTGGTTTTAAGAATTCATTACCGTTTCTAAATCAATTCTCGAGTGTATAAATAAAGTTGACATTTCACCTTCTTTGAAATTCGAATCACAAATTTATAAAAATGAGCATTTAAATTGTTTATTTTCGTCTCAGTTAACTTAGATTGCTCAACGATGATTTCATTTCAAGCATAAATTTTTCCTTTGAGTAAATTTTCTTTTAATTAATCAAACTAACAATTTTCCACTCTTTTTCCTTCTCGCCTCTTTTTTTTCTTTTCTTCACTTTCCTTCGTCATGTTTATTCATCTGATAGACTTGTAAATAAGGAGAGAGGAAAAAAAAATTATAGCGTGTTAAATAATTAATCGCACGATGTCTGAAATGTGCCTTAAGCTACTCGAAAGTAACGACCGTCAATATTGTTGTGAATAAGTTAGAACGGAGAATAATATCCTACCAGCACCAGGTGTATTCATCGTAGAAAATTTATGAGATATTTTTATATGTACATTGGCATGAATCCATCTTATTATCTACGATTCACCTTCGTCTTTTCGAGGTTCTTCAGCTCGTTTCACTGCTGACTTAACGATGACATGAAATCAAAAAAGAATGTAAAGAGCAAAGGACTGAAAAGTCTCGTGTCATGATACACTTTATTACTACGTGAATAGCAATCAAATGGCAATAATTTATTTTCATCTGTCGCATTCGTTGTTTCGACATCGTTTATGTTTCATATTTCGAATGGGCTTTGTTCATAAAAAAGGATTTCTCAGTGAAATAAAGTTAATTCGTGTGAAATCCTTATTTATGCGATACTTTGATCGTCAGATTAAAAACCATAGCTTTGTTATTCCATGAAACTTCTCTTTTGGCAAAGCCTCAAATTTATTTTGCCATTTATGAAATATGAATTTGAATTTTTGTTAAACTAATCGCATGTTAAGGGCGATGTTTGTAACAGAGAAAACAAAAGAAAATCGCTTTACTCGTTGTTTCAATGAATGAAATTTTGTCATGAGAGAAGAAGTTTCTATGCTTTAACAAACTTGGACGTTTAAACTTTGATTCAAGTGCTAAGGCAAGCTGTGAAGAAATTAGTAATAATTAAAATTGTAACCAACATGAAGATTTTATCTTAATAAAAGATTATTCCAATGTAATTTTCACTTTTTAATAAAGATTAATTTGAACATTGCAAAACATCAACTGGAAGATATTTTCAGAAAATTCTCTTGAAAGTACTTTCTTAAGCATTCTTTGAATACCACACGAGAGCAATTTCGGTTGAAACTTTTCCATTAAAGACTTTGCTTAAGACATTTCAATTAAAGCCGAAAGTGTTTCATCCCAATCATCCATAATTCTTGAGTTTAATTTAATGGTAACGTGTGGGATGAAGTAGAATAAATACATAAGCAAAACATTGTCGATCCATAAATCACTAAAAGCGCTCAAGTGAAAAACAACGTCAGTTAGAAGTTTTTTTTAGCAATCCACAAGTCTCGTTGAGCCTCGCTTTACATTGTGTCGTGTCGTACAAATATCTTCGAGTGCCTTGACAATCCTACAATTATTTACAGCAATTGCGAGGGTTTTGAAAAATGATGCAAACGTTACAAAAAAAAAAGGCCAATTTCTCATTAAAGTCAACAAAACCAAACGACAAAATTACACAAAGCTGTCATTGATACACGCATTATGTTTGCTAAACAAGGTAGAAAGCCTTTTTTCAGTTTTCATTAAATGTTTAACATGAATTGAAGGAAAGTTTGTCTGTTGTCACCAACACTATCATTCAAAATGTGTGAGGACTTCCAACTTTAAATGCAAATCGATTTCAGTTGTCGAGAGTTTGTGCTGTTTCCCTTTTATCTAGCGCCCGTCTGTCGCTTGTGTGCTTTTATGCTTTTTACTGTTGCACGTTCGCATATTATTATATAAAGGAAGAAGCAACAACAAAAATATAAAAAAGGCATACATCAGAAGACTCTATTGTGTGGTAAAACAAGCGCCTTGACCCACTTTTTCGAAACTTTTCGATAGAAACATAAAACAGGAAGCACCAAAAATATTTCAGGATTTTCATTCACAGCATTATATTCGCATTGAACCTTGAAACAATAAGCGATAGTTTTTTTCTTATCCTTCCGACTGTTTTATTATACTGTGAGATTCCATTTGGGAAATTGATGTTTCTTTTTTATTTCTTGTAAAAGATTTTCAAGCAATTCTTCTAAATTGTCTTGCATTTGTGGTTTGAATCTGTTATGTTGAGAAGCGCTAAAAAAAGAAGTGGACGGGAAGTTATGTAATGAACAGTTCTTAATGTGATTAAGACCGTCCACATTCGTACGTTTTATGGCTTTATTTTGTTGTTTATCGCGACGTGTAAACACATTTCTCTTACAGTCACACTGCTTTCTTCCGAATATCTAATTCATTTGTTTTCGGGTGCATAGATCACCAAACTCGTAAAGTTGTAAGTGTTGAACTCATAAATTAGGATAATGAACTCTAACAATGGACTTGATTTGACTTCACGTTTCTTTTTTATGTTCACAAGAGGAATCATTATCGATTTTTCTACCTCTTCTCGTCTCGCATTCACAGCCCGTTGATTAAAGATAATGAGGCTTTTGTTTTTTTCCAGTTTTATGAATCTCTGGAAGCTTTGTGATGCTATCATGAAACAAGCTTTCCATGAAAAAGTTTAAATGATGGTTCACAAACATGCTGAAACTGCTGATCTCATTTCTGCCCTTCATTCGGCTTATTTACACAATACAATTATTTTTTATGTTTACTTTTCAAATTGAGAAATTAATTAAGAAAAAAGATCACATCATGATGCCTTGCTTTTTATTTATTGATGTAAAATTAACTTTTCGTTGCATCAGCAGAAATTTCTTTCATTCAAGATAAAGAAAAAGATGTCTATGAACATGAACATGACGAAAATGTAATCAATGAAAACGGAAAACTTTGACGGAAAAATCAATTTTTGATGACAAATTGACAATTGTATTTGATGTTCATGCTTTTGTAAAGCATTTTAATCATAAAAGGCTGAAACATCGTCAAGGACAATAAAAAGAACTTTTGAAAATGTTTCATGCCTTTTAAATGAAAAAACCTCGCAAAACTTTTTGTTACACAAATTTACGGTTTTTGTGATTCTCAACGCGTCTTGTTTGTCAATCGCTAAAATCTTGTACGCGTGAAAAAACAAGGCTGTTGCAAAAATCTATAGTGATGAGTTAGCAATTTTCTTCCTATGTTGAGTGAAGGTTTTGATAATCACAAAGTCATGCGAAATTACGAAGCTCAAGCTCGAATAAACAGAAACGTTTTGTGTTTTTTGAGCTTATGTTTAAAAAGCCTCGCAATGGTATTTCCCATGCTTGTTATCATAGAAGCGTTGGATTAAGTCGTCTATGCCTGTTACGCTAAACAGAATGGGAAAAAGAAGCGACCGTAACGAAAAAGGGTTAACAAATCGTAATTCAATTTCAACAGCGATAAAGCCTTCGATTTGAATTATGCTTGAAGAATTTTATTTCTTTTATTTCTTTAGGGAATTTTCAGATTCTCATGTTTTCTTTGAATCGAAGAAAAAGTCCTGACAAATCACTGAGAAACTCCTTTGAAATCAAATTTAATCGAAAAGTTATCGCCTTTTTCCCTTCTGCAATATCTGACTAAATGGTTGGGACCGAGAAAACTTTTTTCCTAAAGCAGCTTTGATTGGTCAAAGTATAAGTCTTTAAGTTGGGATAATGATGATTACTTACCTGGAAAAGTTTGTTAATGGTTGATTACTAAATGAATTAAATTATAAGCTTAGTTAATAATCAATTTGAATCAAAATTCATCATAATTACTCTTAACAGTAAACAATAATAATCAACGTATCAATTTACATTAATCTGAGCTATTCTCTTTTTTTAAATAATTTTATTCAATTAAAGCTTGAAAGAAAAAGTTATTTTCAAAGGCAAACTACCTACTTATAAAGGAACGGTTTTGATTTCATTTCTTGTTCACTTCTCTAATGGCTTATTTATCAACAGCAAACGCAAAAGAATTTCAAAGGAAAATTTGAAATGAAGAAGTTTGGAATGAAGGTTAAGAAGAAAATGAGGAACATTAATTGAAATTAATTAGAAAACAAAGGTTATTAATTAAGTATTGCAAACGGTAAACTTTTTAAACGATAATAAATTTATATTGGTATTCTTGGGATCTTAATTATTTTCACTTCTTGTGAGTTAAGTAGATAGGAAAATATTTAGCACTTCTATTCGTTAAATATTTTCCCTTTTTGATCTATTTGTCGTCCCTGGTTATCAATTATGACCTAAGAAAATATTTAATGTTTAAAGCCTTTATACATTCTTTGTCAACCGTCTTTTATTTAAGTTGACTAGGAGCAATTTCCATGGATGAATTTTGTTCCCATCGTATCGTAAAGATTCATAGAAGACATTGTTCCTTACTTAATATTCAGAATGTTATGTTTGTTTCATACAAATGGTGAATGCGTGTATCAAATAATATAGTTAGCCTCAGTCATGAAGACAAAGAGAAGAAAACACTCACGTTTGTTTCTTCAAGCTCATGAGGGAAATTCAATTGAATTCCCAACTGAATTTTCTTCTTCTGAAGATTTCTGTATTAACTCTTACGGTGGCGTTGAGAGAAGTCAGCAACCTACATGTACTTACATACATCTTTTCAGATATTTTCTTTCGGTAAATTGAAATGTCAAAGGAGAAAGAAGATATATTCAAGCTAATATAATTTGTAGCTGACTTTAAGTCAAGACACTTTATGACATTTCTGTTAAAGAGAAATGTTTCACGTAGATATTTGCAGCTTTAACAAAATCCAAAGCGTACCTAAGGATATCTTGAAGAAGAATATAAAACAAGCAGAAAGTGGAGTAAATCATGCTCTTTTTTCCTTTTGTCACTTTCCTTCCGCCTTCTTCGTTCTATTTCTATGCACAAAAGGAAGCGCTGCCACTTGGAAGCAGATCAAACATAAATAGAAAAGTTTATGTATAGACATAACGTAATAAGCTTTTCCTGTATATACAACCAACTGTAAAGCAAAATAATCATCTACAAATAGGTCTACATGAACATGAACACATGCACGATAAAAAACACATAAAATTATTCTACAACACATGGTTGGCACTTTCTTCACTGCGATTTATTTTCTTAGTAATGCTTCGATGGAGATATTGAAAACAAAAGATGCTTCTCAAGTTCGAAGGAAAAGTTTTTGTCAATAATCAATAACATTGAGTAAAGTATTTGTTTTATGTTGTTGATAAAATTGAAAACTGCATAAGTTTCGTTCCACATCATTGACGAAGCGACATCATCAAAGAAATTTATTTTTTAACCATTATTAGGTCTGTGACCCGAAACGTGAAGGTGTGTGTAATGATAGAAAGTAAAAGGAATTAACTATAACTGCCTTAGGGCACGTAATGCGAATGTTATTCAATGAATTGGAACATGATCATCACTGAAAACTTTTCCTTTTCATAATAAGCTTTTCGGAGCCTTTTGGAATATGAAAATTTTTCTCATCATTTTGCCACGCCTCGACATTCATACATCGAAGAGACAACATCCCAATATAACGTCTCTTGAGATATTACAGTAAATGGAAAGGTCATGATGAGGGAAGATTGGACAGAGGTCTGTTAATAATAATTTTTCATTACTTTTTCTTTCAATTTTGTTCGAGAACATAGGCGGTAGGTAGATACGCAAATTTGACCAAAACAAAAAGTGAAATTCGCCTTAAATTCCCACGATAACTTTCTGAATAAATATAAACGAAAAAAAAAAATACAGAAAGGAAACCCAGAAGAAAAAGAAGCTGAAAATTCATTCCGTTTTCCATGCACATGGTCGGCCAGAACAGAGAAAAGCTTTTTAAATTAAGGCAACAGAATAATATTTTTGTTTATGGGGATTTGTGCGGTTGTTATGTGGCTTACGAACTTCAATGTAATGATAAATCGTTATTTTTGGTAATATTGACTCGATTAGATAGAAAAATTCCTTGAAAATGAGTTAAGATGTAAAAGTCTTTATGCAAATATTCCTTCGGAACTTATAAATTATTCCAAAGGAAAACGAAAACTTTGAAGGCTGCAAAGGCACGCGAATGCCATTTCTTGCTTTAATCTGAAAGATGTTTGTGAATGAGTAGAAGAAGAAAATTAAATTCTCATTAAGCATTTGTCAGGATCTCAATATGAGCGTATTGGCGAATGGAAAAAAGGAGTTGTTAAACATGAAATGTGTCAGTATCAGTTCCAAGTTCATAAACATCAAAGGCGTTTGAAGAAAGTAAAACCCATTTTCACATTTTCTGGTTGATATGATATGAAATTCAAACAAAATCAAGCAAGATGTTTAAGCTCATTCATTAAACTTTATAAATACACTCAACATAAGATAAACATAAAGATTTTCCATGAAAACTAATAATTTTTCTCTCAACATGAAAAGTTTGAAAAAACTTGAGGGATTTGGTACATACATTCATTTATGATTTCAACTTTTACAAACTTTTATCTCTGCTTTTTGTTTTTGAACATTTTTGAATGAATAATTTATATGCAATGAAAGAATTTCTATTTTTAAATTTCAATAAAGATTTCTTAATAGCTTTAAGGGAAACAAACAAGTCCTAAGTAGAAAGCTGTAAATTGTTTACTTTGATATGCTTTGTTTTCAATGTTCAGACAGCTCAATTAAAAATTTAATCGAAATCTCTTAACGTTTCTCACATGAACTTTGAAAGCTTTCTATTGTGTTTAATTTTAATAAAAATATATTTCAAATGAAACTAGGAAATGTTCCTTTTAATAAATTTTAAAGAAAATCATGCTTATCAATGAATGTTGGAATTTCATTTCTTCAATAATAGGAAAATTGATAATATTATATTTATCGTAACTTCGACGACCTACAAAAGCAATATCATTGAAGTGAATGATGTTTATTCCAAATCTTCAATGAAATAATTTCATGTAATTTATTTAATTATATATTTGTGCTTTCGCGGAAAGAACGGCAAGAGAGTTTTCCATAAATAGCGTGGCTTAGAATACGTGAGTTGTTTTCCTAAAGACATATCTACGAAGAATTCGATGGATTTCAATAAAATTAAGATGAAACTTTCATCAGTTTCCTTTCCTTTTTTATTGTTAAAATTCCAGAAAACTTGAAGATATGTCAACAACTATGAAAGATGATGAATAAAATAAAATTTCCTGTTTTATGAATTTTAATATCAAAGACAGATGATATCTACCAAAAACTTGAAAAAAACTGAACAAAGAAAAGCTCAAAAGATGAAACGCATTTTCAGTGATAATTTTCCTGACCTGAATGTTTAAAATATAAGAGGATGATTTTGGAGAAAAACAGATGAAAAAAGCACAGAGTAAATGGAAAACTTGAACATTAAAAAGTTTTCGAGAGCATAAACTTACTTTTGGAGAAAGCACGAGCGATAAAAATCTTCGAGAGTACGAGAGACTTTCAATGTAAGGGCGACACCAACCAAGAAGCTGAAGAAATGAATGAAGAAGAGAATCGCCCTTACACAACATAACCCGTGTTCCCTTTCTCGTATTTACTTTAATTTAAAAAATATGTGTATGAGAGCTGAGAGAATGTAAGGAAAATTGAGAGCGAGGGGGTGGAATGGGATGAAGCTCAGTCACAGATGATTCTTCTCTCGACACATTTCTGCTCCATACAATCAACCTTTCGTTAAGCTTGCACACAGTTTCCAAGCTGGGATCTCATGAGCATCATCCATACATGAATAAATATTGTGGTAGTTCGCCCGGGTTGTTTTGTTGTTCTCGTTAACGCGCATGTTCCAATGCTTTCATCTCACAAACGAGAAAAAAAAGCCACGGATAGACTGAAAGCTACAAAACAACACACATTTGCATTGTCGGGCTGGCAGTGAAAGGAACTTTTTTCAAACATCGAGCGTGCCTCGAGAACAGAAAAAAAGAGAAGAGATTGGGTGTGTGAACACCAGAAAATAATAAAAAAAGGTTCCAAGTTGCACAACTTTTGCGTTTTTCGTGACTCTTTTGTGACGAAGTTTCTTGTGAGACTTTTCACTGTGAAGTTTGGATTCATAACGATGTTTAGTGTTACTTTGTGAAGCTCAAATTGGCTTCATTTGGATTAAACTTTGTGAAAAGATTAAAGAAATAAGTTTCTCTGTGTCAAAGTATCAGTGTGCTCTTCACTCAAAAGGGAAAAAAAGAGAATAATAAATAAAAACAAGAAGAGAAAAGTATAGTTTTCTAAAGGAAAAGTGTGTGGAAATTAAGCAAAACAATTCCGTACACTTTGTAAAAGTCAAGTGAAGAAAGAAAAAAAATTGAAACGATGGCAAGCGCAACGGATGGCGTGGATGGTGCAGCTGCAACCAAAAGTAATTTTAGATTCTCTCATGAAACAAAATTTCTCCTCTGACTCCTAATTTGACCAACTTTATATTTAATCAACTAGAAGTTTGCTTTAATGGAAACATGAATGAAATAGATAATTAGAAACGAAAAGTTATTTGTATTTTCTTTATCAGGATAAAGTTTTTGCTAAATCTAAAAGCCAATCTTATCTTTTTCTTGAAAGAATAAAAGAAAGAAAAATATCAACAGAGAATGAGAGCGAATAAATATCTCAACATAGAAGAAGAAGATGAAGGAAAAGGAAGGAAAATAAGAAAATAAAAAAAGTTTTCCATGTAAAGAGATATTTTTAAATATTCCACTTCTTAGACCTTCATAGTTATTATGTATGGATAATCATTTAGAAGAGCCTTCAAATACAGAAAAACTCTGTTAAAATATAAAAAGTTTCCTAGGTCGTCTTGAGCATCTCATGAAACTGACATCGAAGAAAAATTATGATTAGATATTACATATACGTTCACTCAGGCAAATGTACATTGAAAATTCCTTTTCATACTTGAACCTAAACTTCAATTCCCATACGGTGAAAACAACTTCTTTGAAGCAGAAAAAAAATTGTTAGACATAAGTAGAAGAAGAAAATGGGATTTTAGATATTTAGGAATCGGATTAGGAAATAACCAACATTTCGTTTTATTTTAGGATAGAAATCCTCTTTGCTCACATACGTATACGAGGATTCAAATTTAAGATAATTTGAAATTGAATCCCTTGAAACATTCATTTGATTCGGAACTTGTATTTGTGAGTATTAAAATTTTAGTGCAGTAGCCCAACCCATTGTTAGGTAACAGTTGGCAAAATGCATTCCAACACAAAAATTAACTTCAATGACAAACTTCTGCCAATTCTTGATACCAATACTAAGAGTAGCTTTATTCAAATCACAGATCTGTTGATTTTCAATTGAAAAATAAAACTTTAATTGAGCTTGAAATTGCAGTAGATTTTAACTCATCGCTGGTCGAAATTTAAAAGCTCAACTTTTTTTATATAAGTTTCTGCTGAAACAGCAGCAAAGCTTTTGACTTCTCGTTTTATATTTCTTTTTTAGATATCATAAAGTTTACCATTCGTTGTTTTCTTGCTTCTTGCACACAGAAAATTCACGAAAGTTTATGTCGAATGTGTAAAAAAAGGAGAAGAGGAATTTGAAACAATGCGAAATAATTGGGTCGCCTTTTTTATGCTTCATGTTTGGGATGATGTTTGAAGCAAAAAAACGAAGAAGAAAAATACTTGCAAAACGAAGTGAATTGAGTTGAAAACGAGCCTCAAATTCTTTCTTTAATTTTAAATGATAATTCCATTCTCAAAATATATTTTTCCTTCCTCCACTCTTTCGTTATTTTAATAAAAAAATATTTTTGTGAAATGTTTCGGAAGCTTTCGAAATTAACGAACAAACATTTAATGTTTCTTCCATTAAATTTTAATATCAACTAGATGTATAAAATTCGGTTTAAACAACATAAATGGGTAACTAAGGAGTAGAGAAAAGAAATTTAAAAACATTTTAATGGAAACATATTATGATATGATATTTATGTAGATATGTTTGGATACAAACAACAAAAAAATATGTTTAGTTCAGATATGTTTGCTCTTTAATGTTACTCGTTGCCATTTCTTTACGTTTGAACGATTGCCTTGGAACATTTCGCGTTCCATTACGCACCATAAGGTGAAATGGCCTTTCTGTAACCATTACACTTTATCAAACCTTTGTCTGCTTCGTCTTACGAAATGCGAATGAAAGTAATAAAATATATTTTTTATATATGTTTAATGATAATGTTGGAAGATCTGTCAGATAAAATCTTCTCGACACAAAAGGTTAAGTAACATCCGAGTTGTGTATGTTTATTCTTCTGTCTTATCAGATAAATATTGAAGGAAATTGAGTAAAGATTAGAGTAATTATTTCATGCTAAGTTATGAAAGCTTCGTTTATTAGAAGATGAAAATAAAGCAATTGTGACTATCAGCGATAAGAATCTTCATCTTACCATGTAAAACCTCATGTTTGAAGTAGGAGAAGAAATTATTTTTATTGTTGAAAACAACACAAACATTTATCATTGTAAACATTAAGCCTGAATGGATTTGCTTATGAAAATATTTTTCCGTACTTTCCCAACTTTTTTCATGTTGTTTCGATGCTTTATTGTGTAGCAATATTTATGATTGCTTTTTAATCTTTAAGACTGTTTATTCTTCACTGAAACCTGTCTCATCCTTAAGCAGCATCGACACTTTCTGATATAATAAAATTCAGAAAAAACTTTAAAAGTAAACATTTGAAGATGTAATCTGTGAAAGAAAGCTTTTCTTTCATTACTTTTAAGAATTTTCCTCGAACGTGTCAGACGTTGAATGTGCACTAACAACTAAAACCAGAATAGAATAACATCGATAATCATTTGAACATGTTTTCCAGTCGCACAGTTGTGTCACATTATTTTTTATATTTATGGATTTTTCGTGATTTTCATATCTATCGAGATAAATCACAATTTTCAATAATGCACTGGGAATATAAAAAATAATTCGATCCGCTCACTAGCAATGCCACTAAGTGGTATATTAAAAGTTTTTCAACGAGTTTCTTTTCACGGAGATTCTAAAAATAAGCCAGAATGTCGTGGCGACAACAATGCTTTCGTTGTTTCATAATCGGAAAATGTACTTTGACAGATTATTGTTTTGAAACAAATACTTTTTGAAAGCGATAGCAGTGTTAGTCAAACCTTCAAGGAGATTTAAGAAGGAAAAAAGTTACTCATGTGGAAGTAATGCTTAAGTGAAATGAACATCTCTATTTGCTACCCAGGGCAACAAAAACTTATAAATTTTACCGAGAATGGGAAACGCAATTCAATTTAATTCCTTTTCTCAACTTTGAAATTAATTTAACTCACATCTCTCACGTTTATGCTTCAAACTTTTCGATTTCATTGAAACTCGATTTAAGTTAGGCTTGTTGCGATTTGTATACAAAATTTCCATCCATGACAAAGATAAATAAGTTGGTAGTCGGTACTGAAGATGAAAATGAAGAAGGAAAAATTCAATTTAGACCTGGAAATTACAAACCTTAAAGCGTAATTGAAAAGTTTTCTGCTTCTACATTTTATGAAAAATCTTGCAGGTGGAAAAGATTTTTTTGAGAGTTCGCTACATGACTTCTGTGTTTTATATTGCTTTCAGCTATTAATCATGGCAGTATCATGTTGACAAAAGGGCTCGTTGAACATAAGCGTGAATTCTTTGTGAAAAAATACGAAGAAGACTGAAGATGTGCATGAATGTCATTTCAAACATAGAATATTCAACATTATTATGTGTGCTATCATTTCATTTCAATGCTTTCTCCTCAGCCTTTCTTCTTTATTGCTTCAAGGCACTGGAGAACACTTAAAAGAAATTGCTGATGTCTAATGTTCTTGTTATTCGAGAAACTTCCAATTCCAATGTCATTCATAAGCAATCCCTGTTTAAAATTATTCCCGTTTTATGCTTAATGTGTCTATCTCTTCTCTCAGTTTCCCATGTGTTTTCACTGTTACGGCATTATCATGATTCATTCTAACGCTCGTATTCAGGAACGTGAAGAATTTCATCGAGCATATACTTATAATCTGCTTTAACTACTTACATTGATACAAAAATGTACATTTATGTGACAACGATGTGCGCGGTGCGATAAGAGAATGACTTTATCAGCAAAATTAAAAAATAAAGCAGAATATTCTTAAGTGTGTTGTGTTGCGTGAATTGGAATGATATCGAGTAATCTAACACTAACAAATCATTAGCGATTTTTTATCATCAGTTGTGGCTTGTTAGTAGAATTCTATAGAGGAGAACTTCATACACATTACATTCAGTTGTCTTTGAGTGAGTGCATTGAACAGAACTCAGCGATTACTTTGAAATCTAACGAATGAGTGCTTTGAATTACTGAAATTGAAATTGACTTTGAAAACAGTTCTTATGTTAGACTTCTCCTTCCCATTCTTTTAATATCGACAACAGCCCCAGTCACTCAACATAAGGCAATAAAAACAATTGATATTAGACAGAAGAGAAAAGAAGAAAAGAAAAAATATAAAAAAAACTCATGAAGCTCAAAGAGAAAATTGAGGGGGAGGAAGAGGAAATCGTACATGTTGAGAGCTGTGGAAAATTGTGTTGTGCTCGCATATAGACTTGAAAATAAATTGTTTCATATTTAATTTTCATTTTCTGTATTACAGTGTTTGTATAATTAATTAAAAATTTTGAACAAAAGAAAAGAAGAAAAAAAAATTACTGGAAAATGTGACTGAGTCAAAGTGGCAAAAGGAAAGGCAGAAAAATTTGTGAAAAAAGATGTGTAAACCCTAAATGGACATGGATATAGAAATGTTTCGTGAATTTATAACTCATGTAGAAAAGAAAATACGAATTTAAATCATGAGATGTAGATTTGAATGACAAATGATATGTTTTTGTGTTGAATTCATTATTCATCATTATTTAGAGCTTATAAAAAATACCTACGTAATAAAAATTTACCTTAAACGATAATTTAAAGTGACAAAATTGAATTGAAATCTCGTAAAAACATAAACAAAGAAGAAAATTAATTGAAACTAATTAATTAGTAGTACTCGAATAACGATTAACACTTTACTCGAGTTGAATTTGAAAATTATTTCGAAATAATTTATTTATTAAATTTGTCAGTTTGAGAATTGAATTGCCAGTTCCTTGGAAGTGACAGACAACCGCAGAACATAAAATCTTTTTGTTATACAGCTTGCGGGACTTTTAATTATTTTATGTTTCAAACAATAGAAAAGTGGTGGAAATTTATAAAAGCAGAAAGATAAGGCAGACATCACATAAAAGCAAGAACTTCCATTCCCGAAACATAAAAAAGTCTGGGTAAAAGACAAGATTTCTCTTTTTATTGCTACATAGATAAACAGAACATCGGACAAAAAGAAATAAAGATCTCATAATCTAATATGGCACGAATCGAGGAAAAACTGAAGGGTAGGTCGAATAGTTAAATCACTGAAGCTGCCTTCCCGCCAGCATAAATCGACCTTTGAAATCTTTCAAACAGAGGAATTTGTACGATAACGAATTATTTAGTAATACTTCATTTCGGAATATTAACTAATTAAGTTATCAAAAGGATTGACATAACGATTAATCCTCTAAATCACTATTATTGATTGATCGATACAGAAAACTAAAATGCTTTAATATATCTACAAGTCACTTACATGTCTGAAGTAATGCAATTTCGACAATAAACTTAAAATTTTATGATTCATAAAAATGTTGCTGAAGAGACAAAAAGAAAGTTAAATTGATCACGATATATCTTAATCAGCTTAATTTGATTTTTCCGAGGAAACTTCAATAAAGTTTTAACTTCTTCGAGCTACACAGAAAGTCAATAAGACAGACATGAACAAAAAAGCCACAAATTGAAGTCTTAAGTGTTTTCGTAAACTTTTTCCCTTCTTGTTATTTATTTAAAAAAGAAAATTCTTCAAATTATGTGAACTGATTTTGATTATTGGAAAAAAATTATTTGGGTTACCCTCGTCTCGTTGTAGACATAAATCAGTGTTGCGAAAACTTTTAAAAATCGTTGAAAAAGATCTCAATCAAAGTTCCATTGAGGTGTCGTTGATTTAATGTGTGGTGAGGGAACGAGACATTTTTTTTTTCGAGACCCAACAATGAACTTTCCCAGGTGAAGGTGAAAACATTTGCAAGAACGGTTTAGCTTACAAAATTGCTTCGTTTTTTTAATGTAATATAATTGAGATGATAATAAATTGCTGTTAAATCCCTAAGGCTTTTAAGTTGGGGGAAGAAGCAAGGAAAGCTTACTGAAGGGTTTGCCTCGTTATATTATTAATATGAAACTCCACTTGATAAATTTTATTTTCTCAGATGTTTTTCTACGTTCTATGAAAAGTTTATCGATCATTTCTTTCTCTCTTACACAAATTTATCGTACTATGTTCATTAAAGATATTATAAAAAGAGCTTTTAACAGCATGACTGATTAATTCACATTTTAATTTATGTCTTTCATTTGAATCACTTTATGTTTACTCTAACAATTATTCTCACTTGTCACATTAAAGTCACATCACACATGAAATTCGCAGAACTCAAATCTCATTTTCAAGGCATATAAACATAAGTTGCGGAAAAAATCGTACGCGAAATTGTTAAAACGATTCAAATTTTTTATGTTAAAATAAACCATTGAGGATACATTTCGTTCAATGATTTTCGTTAGAATGAAAAAATTGCTGTAAAAAACCGAAGGAAAGAGAGCGAGAGAGTGAAGCTTTTTTATTTGAATGGTGGGAAAAAGATTTATGCTTATGGGATATTTACAGTTCTCATGACATGTGACATATTCGTAAAATTTAAGGCTCGAAATTAAATCGTGTTATCAATTAGAAGCAATTTACGCTGACAAACATCTGGGGAGGGCCGTTAAATCGTTATCGTCTGAACGTTCCCCGCTTGTTGTTTCGATCACGTTTAATTATTGTTGCTGTCTGCAGTGTTATCGTGATTTTACACTTCACGCCATTCCGCTCGTCACATACATACATTAACATTGTTTTTTCTTTCATTTCTCATTATATCTACAACAATCACAATATAATCAGTGTGCGTTTTACTTGGACGGGTATTCTTTTATTTATTTTTTACAGTTTTTGTGATAACGAGTTTGAATCACGAAATAAATCTCATGAGTCATTGTACGATTGAAAAAGATTTGAGGTGAACTATGAAACAATCAATCTTCCATTCAACCTAAATAATTTAGGTGGAAGATTTCGAAACTATGTTCGGTAGATTGTTTAATAGCATCAACAACAACAAAATGACTTTCATGTAATACAAAGATTTTTCTTTTGTTTTCTATAAAAAAAGAAAAAAAAACTTTCGTGCGTGCAGAACATTAGGTCCATGTTAATACAAATTGTCCCGTTTCATCTACCCATATACATTTTCTGAAAGAGACGTGTCCCAGATGAACAATGCTTCTCGTGCTATTACACTGTAACTTCAGCTGTCGCATGAGATTTGCAAGGATTGACAGCAAAGCAACGTCGACTTGAATTTAAAGTAAAAAAATATCAGCTTACAAAATGTTTTTTCAGGTTACAAGAGTTAAACATTTGAATATCTTAAACACTCATAAAATATTCCATCCATCTTTCTTCATTTAATTCATTTTATGTAACATCCACGATTTTCCGCAACGATGCAAAGGAAAAAATCTTGTAGGAAATAACGATGATGAAAATGGTCTTGACAAGGTAGATTAGGAATAATTCATGTGTTAAGTAAATACCTTAAATAATTGAAAATTCTTCCTTCGAATCTTCCACAAAATATGTCAAAATCTTTCACTTTCATATCTTAAGGAATAAGCATTTGCAGTATCGACTAATGGCATTATTCTCGGCAACTTTTCTGATATCTTTTCCAGCTTTTAAAAATATCACAAGAAGAAAACGTAAACGAAGAAAAGATAAAGTAGATAAGGCTTATTCTCTACGCCATTGCAGAGTTATTTCTTTGTTTATTTTATCTTCTCTTGTTTTTGTGTCGTGAAAGGCCACGATGAAAGCAGATTTAATTGGATTCATTTAAAATCCTCAATCCACTTTAAATCCTCATTTCGTTTTTTGTTCTACTTTGTGTGTTATTGAAAAAGGTATTAGAATAAAGAGATTTATTGCAACTCTGGGAGTTTCTTCGTGCAATAAGTTTCTCTTCAAATTGAAAGAAGAAGAAATGAGATAAGATTAATTACTGTTGTTTTGTGGCCTAAAATCGATGAAGTAAACTTTTTTTTTACTTTTGCTGATAATCGAAGAATGATAGAAATTTATTCCAGTAATTCTTCTTGTTATCAATGTCATTGACCAACCCAATAAAATACTTCTAGTCTCCGAACAATCATTCCGATGATAATGAAGGAATTATGTTGGAATTGCAATATAATTTAGTCCCTGCTGATTAATTTCTCGACAATTAAATGCAGAAACATAAAGAAAAGCAAAAAATCATTAGAATGAAAAATCGTTCAACGGTTGCTTGATGGTCTCGAAGAATAAAGAAATCAAGTTGAGGAATGAAAATTTATGCTGACGCAAGATTTCTACGAAATTGATTAATTTATATCCTTAAAGATTATTCACGTAGTTTTTTTGTTGATTGCAGTACATTAAAATCAGAGTGAAATAATTTGTCTGAAATTATGTGCAAAAATGTGAGGAGATTTTTGCGTTTAATTTACTGAAGTTCATTGTACTCTGAGTGCAAACGAATTGTTATCTAGACTACTTAAAGCTTTCGTATTAATCTGATATGTAATTAGTTAAGATAAATCACTACAATAGAATTGTTAAGAGGAAATCACAGACTCATTCAGACAAATCTCAATGAGTTTAAGTTATTCAATATGATTACAATGTTCATCATTTTCTGTCTTACGAATATTCCCAACAATACATCATCAATTTGTTCTGTTATCGAAAATTTGTTACTTCATCTGCGATTAATGTTATCGAACGGAAAAATTCGTTTAATGGTCTTGCATTCTCAAAAGATAAATGAAACCAACGAAAACGTCTTCAAACTCAAAAGGATTGTTTTAATCGTCTTTTGTCTTGACAATTCTTCATAAACATCATCAACAAATAGAATTGGAAGGAAAATTTTATTTGTGACTTGTGTAATTCGATTCACCTGGTGAAATATGATGCTTATTAACGAGGCCATCGTTTTGCTTTCATGCCATGCGCAATCACAAATCTTCATATCGTCATTTATTCACATCAAACAATTAATAATCTTTTTGTACGTTGCTTAAGTTTGATAAACAGAAGTGACAGCAAAAGCAAGTTTATATGTGATGATAAGCACAAAGAAAAGTTTTCACGTCTGTGCGTTTAAATAAATACGAGTGGATGTGATAAGAAGGAATGTTTGTCACTTGCGACAATGACGCACGATGGTGATTCCAATTCAAGAATTGTGTAGAAATTTTTCTTTTTTTTTGCTCACTCATCAGTCTTTACTTTCCGATGAAAAGGAAATTGATATTTCAATCAATTTATGTCGTCTCACTTCCGGTTCACATCGCTTTGCGTTTCTTCTTCATTTCTCACTTCACGTCACTTCCGTAAATAAATACGAACAACTCTTGAGTTTTCTCTTGAGCATTCAATGATGAATTTTGGCGTGAGACAAGTCGACAGTATTGAACTTGATAAAAGCGTATGAGAAATGAAGATGTGCACCCTAACTTTATTAATAAATAACAGTCTTCTCGTTTGATTATGTTGTAAAAATATTTGATCTTCAATTTTCTTATCGTACCTTTCATCTAATGTCATTCAAACAGTATCAAAATATAATTCATTGATTGACTAATTTGCTTCCTTCTTTTTTAATTTAATCTATTATTAGATGAGCCCGGTGATGATCAACCATTTGTTGCCAATAATGAGAAGGTCAACAACAATCTGTATCTCTATTCGGTAAGATTCATGAATGAATTCAACATGACTATAGACTTTTCATTGTAACATTTAATCAAACATAGTAGCGATATGCAAAATATAATTTTATGAATTATTTATCATGCAACATTTGCTTACATAGTTTCGCAAGTAATTTGAACGCGCATACATAAATCTATTTATTTTATAAAACTTTCTCTTCAGGATGAGATACATGAGCGTCCTCAAATCACGTCGATGATCGGATCCCTAGCCAATTATTCCAATACGATACCATCTGCCCCCGAAGGTGGCGCTGATGGTGATGCCAAACCAGCACAACCCTCTGCTCGTATGGGTAAGTACACTTTTGAAAGATTAAAGAATAAGATTTCCTATTCCCATAGCATCACGTTCTTCTCTTGTGTAATCAGAAATAATCGCGATTGACGCTGATGTTTTCCGAAGGAAAATCTATTTTGAAATTCAAATTTCTTTCTGATAATGTTTTTTTTTCTTCTTGATTCAATGTCTTCACAGGCACACTTATTGGATGTTATTTGCCATGTATTCAGAACATTTTCGGTGTGATATTGTTCATTCGTTTGACATGGGTGGTTGGAACTGCTGGCGCCATTTGCGGTTTTGCCATCGTTTTAACATGCTGTTGTGTGGTAAGTATGATGATTAGACTATCCCGAATCTGATGGATTTGTTAGAAATGGTACAAGTGCTTCCTCCATAAAATATTTCGTTAAGCTCTCAAACTTCATAAATTATGCGTAACCTTCTATAATGACTTCTAATATACTTCCAAAGCTTTCCATTTCATCGCCTCCGAATCTAAATGTGCAGGGAAATTTTGACTCCATTTGAGTCAAGATTGAAAAACATTCTGTATGTATATAGATGGGGTAGAGGGAAGTTAGCATAATTAATCAACTCACTTGTCGACTGAGAATCATATTGTGAATAAACTGAGAATGAATTCTTGAAGTGTTTCCTTGAAACGCTTTTGATTTTGATTAATATAACATTTCCTTAGCTTTCCTTTAACCCTAAAATTTCTCTCAAATATTTTCTTCTTTTATTGTTACAACAATTGTAATTGACAACTTCACAATTCCCATATGATGTTATGTAAATCTTATTTGTATCGCTAGAGATTTTCTTATAATCACTCAATGTATTCAGAATCAGAGATGTTTGACAATGAATATGAGAATTATGAATGTCAAAAAATGTGAAAAATCAATTTGAAATGAATTCTCCAAGATATCTAATTGAAATTTATGAAAAGTTAATCCTACTGATAGCATTCATTCAAGATCCAAAGAAGTAAAGTAGCTTCTTCATGTGTAAGTACATGAAAGTGGTTCAGTTTAATAAACTTTGTTTCTAAGCATCAATGAAGCAGTAAAAAAAAATCTGAATCAATTGCGTATCGTTCAGCTTTAATCTTGAGTGAAAGCTCCTCAAAAGCTATTTTAAGCTTTGACAAATCCATAACTTAGATTCAGGGTAACATTAGAAAGCGGGGATCAAGTTTGGAAATCGTTCAACCCTACCGAGAAATGAAGAAAATAGATTATGAAAAATAATGCGAAAGAGGATTTTTTTTCTCTCAAGCGAGTGAACGTTATATTTTGTGTCGCCTAAGCTACGATAATATGGAAATATTTTGCTTTTCTTTCTATGCTTGACAATAGCATATTTATGTCTTTTCTTTCCGTTCGTTTAACCCTCGAGAAGCGAATTTTGCACGTTCAGGTTTTCTTTTATTCTTATTGTGATTCTCGTTTTTCTTTTCTTCTTCCTTAAGCAATGAGCTAAAAATATTATTCGATCTGTCAGAACACCGTTAAGATTCTAATAGAAAGCTTAACTGTGCATCGATTTTCTTATTCATATAATTTTCTTTCCAGACCATGCTTACGGCTATCTCAATGTCAGCAATTGCAACTAACGGAGTTGTGCCAGCGGGTGGAAGTTATTTTATGATTTCAAGGTGAATGTAAAGGTCTTTTGAATGAAAATTTAATGTCATATGTATATGAGGTTTATTGTGGTAAAATGAAATGGTAAAAGGAAACTTTTTCCAATTCAATAAACAACATACGGAGAAAAACGACATTGAATTTTCTTTCATTATTATCATTGAAGAAAATAACTTTTCACAATTTTCTTTTCTTCGTCTTTCCATTAATTTTCGTTATCATGAAATGTGTGTAATCAGATCTCTCGGTCCGGAATTTGGTGGCGCTGTTGGAATGCTGTTTTACACAGGAACGACCCTTGCGGCTGCAATGTACATTGTAGGTGCTGTGGAAATTGTTCTGGTAAGAAACAAGCTAACATAATTTTTTTTATGATTCAAACGTTTTGGATTTTTTATTTCGAACTTCCGTTTTCATTCTCAACAGACATACATGGCTCCATGGCTTTCAATTTTTGGCGACTTCACGAAAGATCAGGATGCTATGTACAACAATTTTCGAGTTTATGGAACGTGTCTCTTAATGGTTATGGGTGAGTTATATCATGACTTCTACTTTTATAATGCTTCGTTTTCATAAACTTTGTTCCTTCCTCGTTTTACTGACGTTAACAACTTCTTTCCTGAACTGTTCAATTGATCTATAAAGCTATATTTTCATCCCCGTTGTTTGAATGACGTTTTGTTTTTATTTTATCGAATGTTCATGAACATTTTATTTTTTTCAGGGTGCATTGTTTATGTGGGAGTGAAGTTTGTAAACAAATTTGCAACAGTTGCATTGCTCTGCGTCATCTTCTCCATTATTGCTGTTTATACTGGAATATTTACAAACATCCACGGAAATGATAGCTTAAAGTGAGTTTCGCTTCATTTTTCTTTACTTTAAAAGCAGAAGACGTGAAAGGAAAGAAAGCTTTCCAGCGTCTTGTTTGAGTTTGCTGAATAAATATTTTATTAAGTTAATAGTATTAAATATTACTAAGTTGTTTATATTTCAATCACCAGTATGTGCGTCTTGGGAAGGCGTCTCCTTAAGGACATCAATATCGATAATTGCACGAAAGATGTTGATGGACCATTGTGGAACGAATTTTGTAAAGTCATAAACAACACAAATGATCCACAATTTGTCAGACATTATGACGAATACAAATTAAAAAGCAGGAACTGGGAATGTGATTCTTATTTCAAAGGTTTGTTATTTTAAAGATTGAAAAATGTCATGAAGGAAAATTGAACTTTATAACATTTCCTCAAATGAAAAATTCATTCTACAAATGTTGAAGAGAAATAAAGATTGTTGAATTAAAAAGTGACATTTCACAGTTCAATTTAACTTAATTGACCTGAATTCTTTTTTCCAACATTTCATGAGAAAACTCCTTTTTCTCGTTTATTAGTTTTCTTTCATAGCATTCAGATCGTTCCATTAATTATGTCAGATCAAGAAAAAAATAAAACTTTTGAAAGATGAAAAAAAATATTGAAAGAGAAAAAGTTTCCTTCGCTCAATTAAAAGTTCAATTACGAGCTTAATTGGGAGATTTTGTCTCCGGCATAAAAAGAGAAGAAAAAAGTTTAAATTGTAACATGAACGAAACTTTTAAAAGCTCCCACTTGATATTCTCTCATTGGAAAATTGTAGTTTTGGATGTTTGTACTTTAATGACTTTTTCATTTTGTGTCGGTAACAGCTAACAATGTGTCAACCGTTCAAGGCATCAAAGGATTGTCAAGTGGCGTTTTCTTCGAGAACTTGAAGCCGTCATTCCTCGATGTAACTTTTATTAATTTCTATCTTAAATAAATAATTGAAATCGAATATTTTTTCCATGTTTGATGACCTCAGTATGGTCAATATATTTCATATGGAGATGAACAAATTGATATAGACCCAATCGGCCCAAGTACTTACAATCAAGTCATCGCTGATCTCACGACAACGTTTACAATCCTTATCGGAATCTTCTTCCCTTCTGTAACTGGAATTATGGCTGGTTCAAATCGATCTGGAGACTTAGCCGATGCTCAAAAAAGTATTCCGGTTGGAACAATTTGTGCAATTGTTACAACAAGCTTGGTTTACCTTTCTTGCGTGATGCTTTTCGCTGGAACTGTTGATAATTTGCTGTTGCGTGACAAGTAAGAATTGTTTATTTACTTTAATGTTTTAAACACGTTTTACTTTTCCATTGTCAAATGGAAACGATGAATAAAGGAAAGCCACCACTTTAATGTAATCAATCCGTGTGATTAGGTTTGGTCAGTCGATTGGAGGAAAACTTGTCGTGGCAAATATCGCTTGGCCTAATGAATGGGTAATTTTGATCGGATCTTTCTTATCAACTCTCGGTGCTGGTCTTCAAAGCTTGACAGGTGCTCCACGATTACTTCAGGTAAATCACTAAATCTTTAAAGTTAAATATGAAAAATGAATGAAAGATACAACCAACTGATAAATATTTAGGCAATCGCTAAAGACGGCATCATTCCCTTTATTCAACCATTTGCTGTATCGTCGAGTCGTGGTGAACCAACCCGTGCTTTGATTCTAACCCTCTGCATTTGTCAATGTGGCATTTTATTGGGTAAGTTATGGATGGCGAGACCATAATTTGCTTTTAATAGCTTTCGACATCCCATTCGACGTCTGTCATGAAACACACACTCGAGGACGATTATTAATTTTTTCTTTCTTCAATTCTCTTATGATGTCAACATTGATAATGGTTACAAACAGGAAACGTTGATTTATTGGCACCATTGTTGTCCATGTTCTTCCTTATGTGCTATGGATTTGTTAATCTCGCATGTGCCGTTCAAACATTATTGCGCACACCAAACTGGCGTCCACGCTTCAAATTTTATCACTGGTGAGTTTATGAATCTCCTTTTCTTATTTCATTTAAAGCCATCATGAGATTTAAGACACTTATTAAAGTCTCAGACGATACTTTTTATTTTTTTATATTATTCGGGGGACTCCAGGAATCTCCAGATTGTGTTGACATTTGTTATGTGTTTACACAACGTTATAAAACAAGACAAAATATATAAAGCAATGAAGCATAAATATTGAATAAAGCAGTCGGTCCCAAGATACTGAAAAGCATTCTCATAGTTACGATTACGACTTAACTTTGATTGCATGAGATTCATAATGTAAACAAACAAGTAAGCAAATGCTGTTTGTGGATTGAGGGTCAGAAATCTAATTCGATATTATTTATGACGAAGCTTTTTCGACTTTTCTTTGAAAATTCCTTTAAGATGAGCTTCACTTTAATTTCTAAGATGAGAATGTGAGAGCTTTTGTTGAAAGTTGAAATCATTTTCCTTTTTCCAAAATAACAAAGAAAAAGGAAAAGAAAAAATTAAACTGTCACTTTATAACGGAGATAAATAATTATTTGGATGTATGGTGAGCATAGAGCGTGAAAAATGGAGAAAAAAAGAGACAAAGTCCTAAGGCAAATGCTCTCGGAAGAGCTACTTAGTGTCATCTCCAGCATTTTTCTCGTCCTTTCTTATAGCCAAACAATCAACTTTGTTTGTGCTCGAAAGCGGCGGCACATTAAAAATGTTTGAAATAAAAAAAAGTAAGAAGAAGATAAATAAAAGATTCGAAATCGCCTGTGGCGTGTCTTTCTCAGTGTGACTTTGTTTAGTCTTCGCTTTCTTCCGTTTGTCTTTGAATTGAGTGTTTAAGCTTAGATGACAATGTAATTAAGAAGAAAATAAAATTATTGCGACAGGAAGATAGAGAAAAAAATTTCTGCTTTATATTTCCACGGTTCTTAATCTTTTCATCTTAATAATAAATTGAAAATAATTGCTTTTTTACAAGAGGAAAGGAAGGGAAGTTCTTATTCTACCTCAATACCTGATTTTAGCTTCTTTTTTCTTCTCATTTCAAATTACGCAACTCGTTTTCATTATTCAAAAGAGAAAAGTTTATTTTTTCATCGTTAGCATGCTTCAATATCGTTAGCTATTTAAATAAAATGTCACATAAAAACTTTCAAATTCTTTTCAAGATTGTTCTGTGTGGTGACTTAATGACTTTGAATTTTCATCAAATTATTCATTCACAGAATTTCTTTCGCTTCTATAGAAATGTTTATCTTACGTTTAAGGCATCTATTTTAAACACTTGAGGATAAGGAAAACTTTATTCAAACATATGCACATAATTTATAGCATAAAAATGTTTATTCATTCGATGAAGAAAGAAACATTTTCACACCCGAAAAGTTAAAGGAAATATTAAGAAACACGCTCACTCAGGAAAATAAATTTTCCCCCTTTTGGTTTCATCGACGACATTTCGGAGACAACTTTGAAGGAGGCCGGAGCATGAAATGGATGTAATCAGCAAAGAAGAAACAGAAAATACTTTGTGACATTTCATTATGGTTCAGTGTATGCTACCACAACACGGCCTACACGTTAACCCAAAAAAAGAGAAGAAAAAATAATAAATTTTCCTTCACGTTTGAAGAGCTGCAACAAGTGGCTTTACACTCTTTTCTTTTTCGACTTGGCTTCAAAAACATACATTTCATGACTTAATAATATCATTAAAACAGAACATAAAAAGGAAAGTTTAGAAATGCCGCGTTGACATTTGTGTTGCCTTTTTTTTCATCCTTTTGAATTAATAATTTTGACTTTTCAGTGTCGTTCTACTCTTGATTAAAATTTTATCGGTAAAAGGTGAAAGAAAAACGGGAAACATATAGATGACTAAAAAAACATCCTTCAAGCTAATTTAAAGCCTTTTGAATGAATAATTCATTATCAAGATCCTTTTTTTTTTCTTTTCTTAAACCTTCAGGATTTTGTCATTTATCGGACTTTCCTTGTGTATTTCAATCATGTTGATGACATCGGTTGTGTTTGCTGCCATTGCCATGGGAATGGCGGTCATTATTTACAAGTACATCGAATATTGCGGGTAAGTTGTCCTAAGTCTTTTATTTGATGTTTCAAGCGGTTTACTTTTTTTTTCGGAGCTTAAAGATTCTTTCATCTGATAAAAATGAAAATAATTTTTCGCTATTTTCATCAATCAATTTGACGAATAAGAAAATATAAAAAGAGAAACTTTAAGAGCTCTCGTGTTGACCTCCCGTTGCTTTGACCATTAAGCCATTGAAGGAACTACAAGCCACAGAAAATTAAGATTTATTGCGATGGTTAATGTGTTGCCTGTTAACATTGTTTGTGCTTTTCTTTGGGTGGCAGATATTTAAAAATTATTGTATTGATTATTACAGTGCTGAGAAGGAGTGGGGTGATGGAATTCGAGGATTGGCACTGTCAGCTGCTCGTTATTCTCTGTTGAGATTGGAAGAAGGTATGGCAAAAAAAATTATTTATAGGAAATATTAAGCCGTTAACATTTTGACACATTCTCTTGCTGTTTTAATGAACAATTTATAGGTCAACCGCACACTAAGAATTGGCGACCTCAGCTTTTAGTTCTCTGCAAACTGAACAATGATTTAATGCCAAAATATCGCAAATTGTTTGCATTCGTATCCCAGTTGAAGGCTGGAAAGGGTTTAACTGTTTGTATGGCTGTTGTTCCCGGAGATTTTGTGAAACGCCATCATGCAGCTCACACAGCAAAACAAAACCTTCGCAAGTACATGGATGACGAACGTATTAAAGGATTTGTTGACGTGTTAGTTACAAAGAATGTACCCGAAGGATTGTCACATATGTAAGTCGTACTATTTATAATTTTTAATAAACACTCATTGAACGTCACAATTTGACTCTTATCGCAATGAACATGAACAGAGTTCAAACAACAGGCTTGGGAGGGTTGAAACCAAATACAATCATTCTTGGTTGGCCATATGGTTGGCGTCAAAATGAAGATAGAAGATCATGGGCAGCATTTTTGAATACTGTTCGAACGATAAGTGCTTCACGAATGGCTTTACTCGTACCGAAAGGAATTAATTTCTTCCCTGACACTGCGTCGAAAATTGGTGGCAATATTGATGTCTGGTGGGTTGTTCACGACGGTGGACTTCTCATGTTACTTCCATTCTTGCTCAAGCAACATCGCACATGGAAAAATTGTAAAATGAGAATCTTTACCATTGCACAAATGGAAGACAACTCAATTCAGATTAAGAAAGATTTGAAAATCTTTTTGTATCATTTAAGAATTGAAGCTGAAGTTGAAGTTGTGGAGATGGTAAGATGAAGAGTTGAAAGTTGTTAATGTCATTGTATTAATCTTCTTTTCTTTCTTTTCAACAGATGGATAATGACATATCAGCGTATACTTATGAAAGGACTTTAATGATGGAACAACGAAACCAGATGCTCCGCGAACTTCGTCTTAACAAAAAGGAATCAATGGGAGTGGTAAGTAATGGCTGAGAAATGTATGAATAAATAAAGTTACTGTCTTCTGTTTCGCTGATATTTCGAGCGAGCGCTTAATGTAATCCTTAACGAAGCAAAGGAAATCGGAAAATTGTGTGGAAATAATTAAAAAGTTAATAAGCATTGACAATCTCATCAAAGCGCTCGTTTGAAGAAAAGCGTAATTAAAGTGGAACGTGATTGAAAAGGGACATTGCTAATTTGGGTTTTTTATTGAATTTGCCCGCAATGTCCTTTCCTTTAAATAGGAAAAACTTGAGTAAATTTGAAGAATAAATTTTTATATCTTTTTTCTTTTTCTCTCTCTTTGCCATCTCGATTTCTTTTTTCTTTCTTAAATTTGGCGAAAAATAATCAAAAATAAAAAAATTGAAATGTTTTTTCCAACCTCGTCGAAAATTATTATTCACGACTGAATAAAAAGGTGCCAAACATTGGTGATTACAGCAATGATTCCGGCGAGGACAAAATGCCTTTGGTAACAAATTTGTGTAGAAATGAATCGACATTTTCGTCTTTTTTTTCTCAAATCATCTCACAACCAGAAAATTCGCCAACAATTCCTTATCGTATTTTTCTTTCATATTTAACCTGAGTTCGAATCAATGGAAAAAGTTTTCTTTTTATTTGAGTTTGTTTTCTTGTTTTCTTTTCTTTTTTTTTGTCGGAAGATCCAATTTGATGCTTTCAATTTAGTTTTTGTATTATGCTCCTTTTTATTCCATCAATCGAAGTGCTTTTTTCTTCTTTTTTCCCTTTCTAAACAAAGCCACAGCTTTGATGCTCGTAAGCATCATCAAAGTAAAACAGTTTTAAATCATAATTACTTCATATGAATAACAGAAGCATAGCACGTAGAAATTTCTACCAAATTTTATTAATTTAATTAAAGAGAAACTTCAGAGCTTTCGCATCTACAAAAACTAATTCAATTAGAACTTTCATTTACAGTAAACTTTTTCATAAACTATCAACACTGCTGCTGTTCAGCTTTAAATTTTATGTGTGTATTTATCTTAATAGAAAGTCTCGATATATTCAGAAGTTTTAATCCGCAGACAGAATATGTAAGAAATGTGCGGGAATTTAATTAAAATATCTAAGAAAATAAGTTAGTCATGTAGTACTTTGTAACTTTCAAAGTAAATTTAAATTGAATTAGACTACTTAAAATATTACAAGACGATAACTCAAACGTATGCTAAAAGTTTTCATGATATCTACTTCACTTTTTTCAATCGCTTCTGCTTGGAAAGGATTTCATAAAATCGAATCACGTTTTTAATTTTTCTTTCTATAAATGCTGCACTCATAAAACAGTTTACAATCTTTTCAATTCACCCAGCTTTCCTTTCAAGACATTTCTCAATCCCTCTGAAGTTCCCTATGAGTAAAACAGTTTTTGCTGCACTAGAAATGGATCATGCTGCAAGTAAATCTATAATCCGATATGAATTTACCATTGGAATAGGGAAGGAAAATCGTTGATAAAGTTGTTGACCTAATTCACGAATCATTTTTCCTTTGTTTTTAGAATTTTTACCGCAGTAAATATTTGCACTCTGCGATGAATGACTTTCATCTTTCCGAGATTATTCTTTTTTCAAAGTTATATTTTCAATCCGTTTTTATGTCGTTCGTGATGACATGATTTTCAGGTTTCAGTTACATGTTTGTATAATTTTTTTAATTTTAATTTACATATCTATATGCTGCGTTTTGAAATCGGTGATTGTTCAAGTTTTTATTTTTCCCGTTTCAATTTTAATAATTTCATTTTATTTTAATGGAATTCATTATGTTTTCCCTGTTTTTATTCGTATTTTAATGGAAAAATCCGAAAATTGATTTAAGATCATGCACGCATTTCAATCCTATCAGCAGTATGTTGTTTTATTTCATTGAAATTTATTCATTTGTGAATTATGCTTGAAGGATAATTAAGACAAATACTCGGAAAGTTTCGAGATTCATTCTTTTTATGCATTAAAATATACATCGTTGTGTTATTTTTAATTTCATTATAAACATTTCCCACATTTTATTTTAAAAGCTGTGGAATTTATAAATTTATTATTCCTTCCTTATGTTCATTCAATCCATTTCAGATGATTAAAACAAAACGTCTCTGGGAAATCATAATTTTTCATAACATTCAAATTACCTCATCAATAAATCATCGTCATTCTCTTTTTTGTTGTCTCATTTCTTATTTAATCTCATTGTTGTGCTTTTCTCTATTGCTGTCGCACGAATATCGCAATAAACTTTGTTTTTATTTTCTTCTTCCTTTCATTCATTCTTTTTGTCCCAATCGTTGTTCTTTCTCGTGTGTCTTAACTGTCAAGACAGTTGAATAGTAAAGTAACTAGGTACATTGTACGTTTTATGGTTTTGGATTTTTATTTATTACTTCATTTCTGAGTCTTCTCCATGAAAAATATCCTCGAGTTGTTAAAGTGGTGCGCGTTTGGTAGCAATTGTTGTTGCTACTGAGATTAATTGCATCACATTTGTTCTCATTACCTTCAGTACACCCTCTTCAGCATCCCATGCTTTTACTTTCTAAGCCAACGATCATTTTTATCCTTATGATGAGTCGTTACACGTGTGTTTTGATCATCTTCTAGTTTTCAAAAAGATTAGATAACACTCTTTTATAAATACTGTTCTCTACATACATATCACGTACGAAATACCATGAAAATAACTTTTTATCTATTACAAAAGCTCAGAAAATGCGGGTAGTGGTATATCATTTTTAAATCAATTTATTCACGGAAGCTTCTTTCCCTTTTTAAATATTAAAAAAGATGAAGAAGGAGAAAAAAAAATCTTTTCAGAATTTTCCAGCTTTTATTCTTAAACAATGTTCAACGCTTGTTTTAAATCACATTCTTTGTGATGACAAAAAGATTCCTCAATATACAACCACAATGGATATAAAAAAAAGAAGATAAACTAATGGATTTTAATGCTCACTTCTTCTCCATTGCTTGCAATGACACCTCGATAAATTATGATGATATACCGTAAATATTTCACAATGTAAAGAGACTAAGAGACTCCTTGTTTGTTATTTTTCAATATTTCAATCTGCTGTCTTTCTGCGAAGACAAAGTATAAACACGCAAATCAGACGGCGACTTTAATATTATCCATAAAGTTGCTTTGGATCCACATTTAATCAAGTATCAGAAAATGGAATATTTCAAGAATTAATAACCAAGGATAATGAATTTTTAATCCCATTTTAATCCAACTTAGAATGATCCTTAATTCCCATTTGATGATGATATAATATTCAACTTCCGTACATTTGGTTCAGAAAATTGCAATGAGAAAATCCGAAACATTTTTAGTTAATTCTCACTGTCTGTTTTCATTTGTATTCATATTTCCTGTGTGGTTTCAAACATATTTGCATTGCTATAAAGTTTTTATCATATGACGACAATCTTCATCAACTTCTCTTATCAACGTCGAATGAATTAAGACATCTTTCATTGCTCAAGAAATATTTTCGGATAACTTTCTTTCTCCTGCAATGAATTTCATTTATGTAGCAGTAAAAAAAAGTTGCGCTTACATTGTTTCACGTACATCTATTTGTTTAGTTGTTCTCTCTCTTTCTCTCTTCATATTTTGTTATCTTTTGAATGTTGCTGAAACTTTCATATGTACAAGTCGTTCATCAAATTTCATTTCAAGAAAAGAATCATCTCGTTTTTATCTAAGAAAAATTATTTTATTCCCAAATAATTTATTCATTCAACACACATTATCATGACCATCATCACTGTACGCCTCCGTGGTTTTTTCTGTTGTTATTATTTTGTGAGTGTTGAATCATTACATCATGCTCATCTGAATGTACGAAAATCGTTGTAGACCAAGTTTCATGAATATTTCATGGCGAAACTTTCTCGTGTTCACCATTAGGAAAAGCTTAATTAAATATTTTTATATCATAGGTACAAGCGATAGTAGATCATCATCATCCCGGACATGATGGAACAAGAACAACAATTAGCAAAGTTAGATTCGTTGATCCAACGAAACCGGATGCCAACGAGAAAACTGAATCGAATGAAGTAATTATTTAAACCTTAATCTATTGTTGAACAAGTTTTTTATTTTATTTTAAACTGGAATCTTTTTTCCACTCGATAATCTCACTGTTGGATCAGATGGAGTTTGAAAAAGATAAGGATACCAAAGAAAACGATGAAGATGACAATGAAGATGAGGAAAAGGTCAAAAGTTCAGAAAATGTGTCGGTCAAAGATGGCGAAAGCTCCGATAAACTTCAGCTTAGTGAAGATGACGATGATGACAATGTTGACGATGATGACGATGACGATGACGATAGAAATAATTCCGATAGCAAATCATCGTCAGTTCCAGGCACTGATGATAAAAAGAGAAAGCCGTGAGTGATTTTTCAAATAACGAAAACTTTTCAAATTAAAGTTTGAGTAATTTAAAACAAATTTTTGTTTTGAGATGAAAGCTCTAAGTTTTGTTTTAGAACGTAACATTCTTTAAAAAGAACTTAACGTTAATATGAATTGCGTTAAGCAACTACGGGAAACCCTTAACGTACATACGTAAAGTTACGTACTTTTCCATCTCTTGAGTGATGAAATATTCACAAATATTGATTGAATAAAATTTTCATTCATTCCTGTAGCGTAAAAAGTTTGCTGATTCAAAATTGAAGCAATCATAAACCCATTTCCTTGATTCAAGAGCTTCAAAAAAGATACTATGACTGTAACTATTATTAACCTTCATTATAACTCCTACCATTCATTCTTGCTCTTATAAAATTGGATTTTGCTTGACATCGCTATTAACAACGAAACCATTGTTTTTCTTTCTTTTCCATCATCTCGTGGATATAAAAGTCCATTTGATCCGAAAATTTTCAGAGATGAAGGCAATGTGCGCCGTATGCACACAGCTGTGAAACTTAATGAAGTGATTGTTAACAAATCCCATGACGCTCAATTAGTAATTCTCAACCTACCGGGTCCACCGAAGGACACATCTATGGAACGAGAATGCAATTGTAAGTTTATCTTTATACTTATGAAAATATCTTCATACTTAAAGACATTCTTTTCCCACAAAACAGACATGGAATTCTTAGAAGTTCTAACCGAAGGCTTAGAGCGAGTTCTGATGGTGCGAGGTGGTGGCCGTGAAGTCATTACTATTTACTCTTAAGTTTTGACGCTTAAGACATGAATAAGAAAAGAAATTAAAGAAATGATAATTAAATATTAAGATAACAACAAAAATAATATCTAGGAAACATTTGAATATGAAGCAGAGGCAGGATGGCAATGACGTTTTGAACCAAAACGATAAATAGAAACATAACAAAAAGAAACAACACATACATCGTAGTTAATTAGAAGAATGATTAATTGATGAAATCTTAGAATTCAAAAAGAAAATATAAAGAAACATATAAAGGCAGTTCAAAGGTAAATCAAACTCCTTTCTTAATTAATTAAAAACTTCAATAAAAAAATGACAACATGTGTTCTTTCTTAATAATTAAGAAACTATAAAAACCAAAAAATAATAAAAAAAGTGAAAATAAACTTTGGATAATTCTAAGTCAATGATTGGAGAAGAAAACTGTCGGAATGATTTCATAAATTGCGCAACATTTCATCAATGAAAAACAAACAAAAAGAAAAGCTGTCGACTTCGTGGCAAAAGTTGCCACAAAACCCCAAATAAAAAACAGTCGTTAAAATAAACTTCGGGAAGAGATATTACAGTAAATCTCAATTTTTAAAGAAAGTTACGCAATTTAAGGAAAATATTCTTTCTAGGAAAAAAAACGAGTCTTGAATGGAAAAAACCACAGGGAGAAGACGAAATTAATAATTCATTAGTAAAAAGATTCCATTTTACCATCGTTCGATATCGGCATATAGAATGAAAACGAGAATTAATAAGTAATAAATAAACTTAAAGTTAAAGTTATAAAGGCGAATGATAATGGAACAGACAAATTAGGAGGGAGAATGATGGGTTTGATCAACCTCTAAGGCATATTTTCGAGAAAGTTTCATGAGAACTAGAGACGACATCCTTTCGAACACGAATACGAGCTCTCAACACTCTCATAAAACATCTCGAGAATCGCTTAAAGCTCATTTAAAGGAAAACTTTCCATTTTGGATTGTTTAATTCGTGTTTTTTACAAACTTTTTTGTGTCCATTTTCGAATCTAAAACCATGATAATTCCTTTCGGAATCAAGAATTTAATTTCTTTCATCAAAAATTTTCTTGTTTAAAAAATAAAAGCAGAAAATGAATTCTCGATTGAATACCCAAGTAACAGAGCTTCAAGTCGAACTGAATGCATTATAAAGGTAAATGAAACTTTTTGATTAAAAGATAAATTAAACATCATCCAGTACACGGTTTTGAGTCTGTAAATTTAAATATGAGCCGCTAATTAGTGTAATTTTCTATAAATATTCTGTGAAAATTGGCAAAACGGAAATTTAATTTCTCTTTCCGTAGTCAAATTGACAATGAAAATTAAAACAAAAGAGAGAAAAGAAATCAAATTGAACACAATCAAAAACCAAAAAATAAACAAAGATTTGCTTTGGTTACATGAAAAGCACTTTAAATCACAATGCTTTCCATCGATTTTACTTCAATATTGTTTATTAAAAGGAAATAAAAATTTAAAAGCAATAATATATTATCCACAAGACATTGAGAAGAAAAGCTGTTCTTTCATTTTCAAGAACGAACCCCAAAGATATTTAGAAAGTAAATGAAAGGGAATAAATAAATTTCTTGTGATTTCCGACGTTAAAGAACTGCATATTCTTGTATTATTTGAAATTCTACGCAATATAAACTTAAACGATTAAAACACGAGCGAAGATGGAAAAAAGTTTAAATGAATAATTTGAATAAAATTTTTCACGCTTCTGAAGACGAGAAAGAATGTTAATTGTATTTGTAAATATATTTTGAACAAGTTTTTCTTTGTTTTATCGAGAGTGCTGGGACTAAGGCGGATGTAAAGTTTGCTTTTAAATGGTTCTACTACCTGGGTAGAAGGAAATTTACACGACAAGGAAGAAAAAAAACTAATTCAACTTAAAGTTTTGTGAAAAGTTTTAACTGAAGCAGGGATTTTTGATTCAGATATTCCTTTTTAATTTTTTTACACCTGAAAACGTAAATTAAAGCTGTATTGAGTTTCGCTCGTTATCGGAAAATTCATTGAGCCAGAAAAAAAAAACAAGGAATTAAGAACACGAACAATAGAGAATCGTAAAAGGTAAAAATGCTAATTAAGCGATGAAAACTTTGTTATTCCTCTTATTAAACTCATTTGCCTGCTTCTCGCTTTATGTTTTGCATTGTTTCATGGTTACTCTGGATCACCCAATATTAGCTTTACTCTCATGAAGCTTAATTACTCTGTGGGTGTCTCCAATGTCTATTTGCATCGACATTTTACTTAACTATCACAAATTTTCGCTTCGAAACACGAGATGTGTAATTAAAATTAAACAAAAGCGATCTCTATCCGTCCTTGTGAAGCTTAATTTGAAAAGAAAAATTAAATAAAATTAATTGTATATTGAGTAAGTCTTACTAGAAAAGAAAGAACTAGAAATTACCAGACAGTATTTCATCATCGATTGTGATTAATTAACAGATGCTCATTCAATTGGCTTTAGCAATTTATTTTACAAGAATTTCATACAAATGAGAAGCAATCGAGAAGATGAATGAATGAAGAAGGGAAAATGTTTCAACGTCTTGTCAACAACATAAAACTCGACTATAACTCTCTCATAAATTCAAATAAATCTTATGAATCAGAAAAAAAACTTATCCTTCAAAAGAATCTTCAATGACTGAGAAACATCCAAGTTGAGTTGATAAATATTGAGAATTATTCTCATTTTTGAACGCCCCCACCTATAAGCGAATTAATAAATGGTACATAAGAGTTGCAGACTCGTGCGAGTTTGATAAATACGATAAGAAGGCTGTCAAGTTCACCTTCTTTTTCTTTCATTTCAACAACTGAGAATGGTTGAACAGAACAGAAAAGATTTTTTTTCTTTCGGTGAGAAGATGGCGAGAAGAATGAAACGACAAGTAATTTTCTGCTGTTTGCGACACTTTTAAAGAAATAAATATTGTAATGTTAGATAAGTCACATTTCGTAAAAAAATCTCATTCGATTTAATATAAAATTCAAAAGCTTCTGAAAAGTCATCGTAGCAATCTCTTATAGGCTTCTAATGTTTCGAAAGCTCCATTAATATGAACGTGACATAATTCCAAATTATATTCAAGAGAAAGTAATGGTGAGAATTATTAACTCGCCATCACACCTCTCGATGAAAACAGTCAAGCAATTTATTATGAGAATGAAATTCACGTTCAGCACTCTCGTTTAGAAGAAATACGTAAGGAAGAACAAACATAACAACTTAAGTATAATTGATAAGAACTTTTTACTTATGACATTCGCTTCGTCAAAAGCTTTTCGTGTCTTTTTTATAAAAAAAGAATAATTTTTCAAATAAGTAATTCGTCTCTTTTGTGTGACAGACAAGGAATGTCCAATATCTATTCATGCAAATCACTTCTCCAACAATAAATTTGACGAATTTTTCTCAATTGTGAAACTAAATTCATCATCTCAAAATCAGAAAAATAAAAAAAGGATTTAACATGAAATGTCATGATGAAGATGAAGATCGAAAAGAAACCAAAGGTCGATTCGATTGAGTGAGTACATGATATGTTATTGATTAGTGCTTTGGAATGGTGACAGATTGATGTTTCTTCCGCAACATTGGCTACCTTTCGTGAAAGACAAGAGAAGACTTATTACATACGACCGTAAAAACGAATCGTAAGGAAATTGTACTCGAAATAGGTCATCTAGCTTGCTCACATTAATGAAACATCCGTTTGAAAATTTTAGGAATCTCTCATGAGAGAATCCTACAACCTTTATTTCCAACTAACCCAGTAGTGAAATGTTAATTAGTAACATTCCTACACAAAGAAAAAATTAAAACTTTCACAATTTTGCCAGTGCGAAAAATTTGTTAAATTAAAATAAAGTTGGAAAAGCGATTAAATAACTTCATTTGTATATTAAGTGATAGACTTATCAAATGTCACTTAAGATCTTTAATTAGGACGGTTAAAAGTCGAAATAATGAGAAATCTGAGGAATATTTTAGACAAAACATTGTTAACAGTGGATGGAACGTAAGGTGGAAACACGAGAACCAAATGATAAACTTCATGAAAAAACATGATTTAACTGAATAAACAGAATTCGTACAATTAGGGCCTTTAAAATGAGAAACTTAGCAACTATTTATCATTTCGATTCACGCCTCATTTCGTTAGACAATTGTGGCGAAATCATAAATGGAACGAAGTGTTGATGTTGGCGAAATTTTTTTAACGCGAATAACGATAATGGGAAAAAAATGTTAAAATTAATTATTCTTGCTGTCAACCGAAAGAAATATTAAAGTTAGTTAAAATGTAAATCTAGTTTATTAGATGTTAAAATCATGCTATTTGTTTGTTCATTAAATGCGCGTCGATTAGCAAGGATTAACATGCTAAGAAAGCATATTGTATTTAATTATATTATGCACTAATTGTTGCTTGATTTATGTAAATAATTTCAACATTTTTATGTTTTTCCAACACCCTTTTCCCATACGACTCCACTTGATATGCGAATTTTTATGTCGCCTGTTAACTTAATTATTAATTAAATCAAAATTTATGCATATAGCAATTTCATGCCATTGCTGGTAAAGTTTGCTATTTGAAGACATTTTGGCTCAAACAAATTTCATGTTTTCCTTTTTCTTTCATTGCAAAATTTGAAAGCATTCGCACATGCCGGTAAAGATCAAAAATTGCGCTAACATTCAAATAAATGGGAAAAGAAAAAGATATCTAAAGGAATCAAATTTATTCAAACAGATATAATCGCTATCAAATTTCAAGAATAAAGATAAGAGAAGAAGTCGTTTTAGTACGCATCGGAAAACGATTCGTTATGATAAACAAAAGGGGAATCCTTTTAGAAGCGGAAAAACAATCCGCAAATCATTTTGGTCTTTCGTGGCCACTCCATCCCATCTGCCGTTCGTTTTCCTTTTAGTTTACCAACCGTACGATTTTACTTCCGTTCAGTTTACCCACCGCAGTACTCATGCCAATGAGAAAACAGTAAAGAATTCTCCCTTGACAAAACACCATCCCACAAGGCGAACGACTCGTAACACTTAAGTTATTTTCCATTAAGCAAGGATGGAAATTATTAGGAAAGTGAGAAAAGAAAAGTTTCTTGGGGTAGGCGAAAAGAAAAAATAATGTAAGAAGAATATTAGATGGAAATAAGAAAGATATTACGTAGAGGAAAAAGGTTAAACAGGAGGAAAAGAAGAAAAAGAAAAATCAAGGAACTTAAACGGTTTCCATCTATTATTAACTCTTCAATCAAATTCCAAAAGTTGCCAAAAACAAAAAAGAAAAAAATATATATAAATAAATCTATATATCTATATAGAAAGAGAGAAGAAAGGAAACATTTTATTATGTAATTGTATTATATGAAAATATAAAAGTGAATTTTAATGAAAAAACTTTAAAAAAAACCAAAACACTATATGAGAAGAAAACTGTTATGAAGAAAAGTTTGTTTTTATTTTATTGAAAGAAAAAAAACTTATTAGATATTTTATATTGAAGTTTGTTCATGATCAGAATCTATTAATTCTACGTTAGGAATGAAATATATATTTTATCTACTTTTTCAAAGAGCGTTTTATGCCATCAGCCATCAAAGAAGAAATAGAAATTTAGGAAATGATTTCTCCGTCGAAAAATTTCGTTGGTTTCTCACGACAAACAGAAACAAAAGAAAACGTTTATCACGTGCTGTTATTTATTGATTGATTTCTCTTGGTAAAAAAACATTAAACTTTCATTTTTGTCAAAAATGCCAGGGTCACCATAAGAACGACAAACGAGAACAAAACAAGACTGGTGCGCGAAACTTTAATGCAAATCAAGCTGCGAAGATTTTATCAAGCGAAGGTTGAATCCCATTGTGGAAAGAGATTTTCTTTTTATATATTTCGTAAAATACTTTCAGAATTCATTTCACATCTGATCTGGATTCATTGTGAATTAAAATTCCCAAAGAAGCGTGACGAATTGAACATTCGTTGAAAATAAATTCATGAGATAAGTTACTCTACCGACATCACGGGATTTCTTTTTTCTCTCGCTCTGACGCTTTTTGGATTTAAAGAAAAATCCAGGAAGTTCCGTCTTTTTATATGATGTCAAATTGCTTTTATTAAGAATACATACATTGACAGAAACGATATAAAGTCTTTGCTTAAAGAAAGCATAAAAATTTTTCTTTTATGTCAAAATTGTTCTGTTGTCGTTTTGTCGTGTTTCGATTTTTCTTTTTCGCTTTGAGACTACAGAAGAAAATTCTTTAAATTTTATCTAGCTAGTGAAATTGTTTATGATAACATCTTTAAATAAGAAAGTGAAAAGGAAACATCTTGTGACATGCGATGTAAATGCCTTGAAGTCAATGTTTGCTTCATCGTTAGAATTTCTCAAACTTTTCACTCGACAATCCTCACTCGGTTACAACACTTGAGGGGTTTAAATAGATTTTCGTTTCAACACTCTCCGCATGTTTGAGGATAAGCCTAGAATTTCTCTTTGAAAAGTTGAAATGGTTGACAAAGCGGTATAACAATAATGACAGTTTGTGGCTTGACTGCCTGAGAGATAGATAGGAAACCGAGCAGCCACGTGCCGTGAATTACAATCATTTGTCGATAACTTATTGATTTTCCATTAAGTGATACTTTTGATCATGTTTTATTTCAAAGCAAAAAAAAACTTTACGCTTTCATGTCGTGTCCTTTTTCCTAAACTTCTCGTCTTTGTTGACTGTTAAAAAATTTAACGAGACCATAAAAAAAGATTTAATAAAAAAGACTTTGATGTTTTGTTTTGTTTTTGAAATATATTTGACTCAAGAGAAAATTTAATATATTTATTTTTAAATGTTCTATAGTTTTGTAACAAGCTTAAAATATTTAAAGAATGAAAATACTTTTAAGTGTTAAAAATGAAAAATTTTGTTTAGAAATTATACAGAGAACAACAAAGAAGATGTAGAAACTTCAATTACAAAAATCCCTTCTTTTGACCTGAAACGTTTTCTAAACCTTCACAATTTTAAGTCGATTTAAATGGTAATGTAACAAGAGAAAACGAATGCCAGGAATAGCTAGCAGGGACATTTGAATGCTATTTTGAGCCAAGTATTGGAAAAGTTCACAGAAAATAACTTTGGTAAAAGTAAAATAAAAGTTTTCTTGAAATTAAACTCTGAAATTTGGCTTTAAATTTCTTGCAATGGAACAAAAATTAAAATGATTATAATCATCGCTAAGCATTCAAGTCGTAATGAAAAAAAAGAAATAATACCAGAAGTAAAGGTCGATGAACTGTCGATACTGTTTACGACAAGTAATTGAAATTTAATTATTTGGATTATAGAATGATCAATAAAAAGTAAAGACATTATTAACATTTCTTCATAGAATTAACAAGATGAAATGGAAATTAAAGTTTCTTGATAGTTAATTAAAATAAAATTAAAGAAAAAAGACAACATGTATGAAATCAAAATGAAATCGATAGAATAAATTGGGTAAATTGAAACATTAAATTATCCTGATGATTGCATTATATAATATAGATCACATCTTTTCTAGCTTCATCAATAGAATGAATCTGGAACGTGAGAAACCTTAAAAAGTAAATTTTCTTCATTTTCCAATTTCAACAGCTTTTATTTTCTCTTAAAAGAATTTGACACCATAACTACCGTCAATCTCCATTAACTCGCATTTACCTTTGCTCTCAAGGTGGCGCAATGCTTTCACTAATACCTGTTCACTTAGCTGATGAAATTCTTGATCTTGATGGTCGTTAATAAGTTCAAAGAGAGTCAACACAGAGTTCGTCATTCCGCTGTTAATCGCCCATGAATATATGACATTTGACCACTCTTCTAATGTTAACCAATAGATTTCATATGTTCCAGTGTTTTTACCAACCGGTGACGCATTCTTTGAGTTGCACAATTCATTCATTATCATTTCTCTCGATTCACGTTCAAGGCTACGACTAATTTTACTATTGTTGAATAGCTCTAAATCATCATTTATGTTTATTACTGCTTGTTTCTTGTATTTAGCATACTGTAAAATCAATTCTTTCCAGCGAATCAATTGCTGTTTTTTCGTTTCCGCATTTTTCTGAACCCTTTTAGGAAATTTACAAATGTAAACAAAGTTTTTCTGGAAAATTTCAATTAACTTACGTGAAAAACGGAGGAAAATTGTATTCCCATGGCCACTCAAAATCTGTCATTGTGTTCTAGGAAAATAATATAAATATTTTCAATGTTTCCTTATCTAAATAAACTTAAAATTAATAAATATTTTATTCTGAATTTTGTTATAACAAAAAATATTGAAAATTCGGGGGGACGTAAGCTACACGAACTTCTATGTTTTCTGATAGAAATTCTATGAATATTCTCTCTCTTGAGGGCGTTTCGAGTCTAATTTTTTAAAAATTAATTTCCATCGAGCTGCAGAAAATGGCTGCAACATTAAAACCATACCTTACCGCTGTAAGACATACATTAACAGCTGCCATGTGTCTAGATAACTTTTCGTCTCAGGTAAATGAAGAAATAAAAAAAAATGAATTTCTTAAACCCGGTGACTAATCATGAGAAAAGAAATACTCAAATATAATATCTTTTAAACTATTCCAGGTGATTGAAAGACATAACAAACCGGAAATCGAAGTAAAATCATCGAAGGAGTTAATTCTAAATCCCGTTGTAATATCGCGTAATGAAAAGGAAAAAGTTTTAATTGAGACATCCGTCAACTCGGTCCGTATCAGTATTTCAATAAAACAAGCAGATGAGATTGAGAAGATCCTTTGTCACAAGTTTACACGTTTCATGATGATGCGCGCTGAAAATTTCATTATTTTACGACGTAAGCCTGTTGAAGGCTACGACATTTCTTTCCTCATCACCAACTTCCATACTGAACAAATGTACAAGCACAAACTGGTGGACTTTGTGATTCACTTCATGGAGGAAGTTGATAAGGAGATAAGTGAATTAAAGTTGTCGGTCAACAGTCGAGCGCGTATTTGTGCCGAAGAGTTTCTAAAAAGATTTTGAAATGCTAGAATCATTTCGAGTTCAACTGCTATTATGCATTTCTTTCCTTCATATTTTTTTTCTTCCTTTATTCAAAGTTTCATTGCATTCGCGACATAAGAGTGATTTTTAAGAAATTTGTGAGAAAATATAAATAAAAAAAAGCTTTTAAAGATCCACATTAAATTGTCGTTGCTATTGTCGACGTGATCGAAGACTTTGTCCTTCGCCTTGGAAGCTTTTGAACTTGTCCGTGTTGTCTTCGACTTTTGATGTATCTTTTGGTCGCACACTTCGATCAAACTTAAGCTCAAATATGTTGTGATCATAGTCGGGAACTCCGCGGACGTATTTGTTAAGTATGTGAGCAGGCGGATCAAGTTTAGCATTGTCTTTAATCTTTTTCCCATCGAGACGTGTTCCTTCTCCTTTGAATGTGTAGAAACTATCATCATGATTGATGAACTGTGCAGGATCAACTTCCATATGTTCTTCAACTTTAGGTTTCCGTTCGGGTTCTTTATATCCAACAGGAGCATCAAATTCAACCTAAAATGATTAAGAATTAAATTAAGAAACGAAAATTTTCTTCATTTTATCACTTCTTACATTCATATCGCATTCTATAATGGTCACAGCTCGTCCTGGCTTTGTTTCTAGTACACACAGCTCATATATTTTGTTATTGTAATTGATGGCAACTAAATCGCCAGTTGTGAGGCAAGCAAAATTTCGCAAGCAATTCTCCAGCACAGCTTTAGGATTTGTGATATCTAAGAAGTCTACACTTTGCGGTTGAAATTTGGAAAATGTTGCTACAGGCAGGGAAACATTTTCAATAGTCACTAAATCTCCTTCTTCCAGCAGAAGGTTTCGCATCATCCAGAACGGTATGTAAATCTTTCCTTCATCAGCAATAAATTCAAGGACTCCTGCATGTGTTTGCCGGTCACTTTTCCTATTTGTAATTTTGAATAGCATGGGATATTCAATATTGAGCCTAGTCAACTGATCCAAAGCTGATGGTGGCATTATGACTATCAAAGTTAATCAAGAAGAGGAATTGGTTATGCATACGAAATGACTTTGCAGAAAATATTTACTTTTTCCTCCGTTCTCAACGTCGTTTCTCTCATTTCCTGGAAGCATTGACACAGAATAGCATCGGTAGTTCTGACTAAAGTTCCTCATGTCAGGAAAACGCATTTCGGGAAATGCAGCAAAATTAAACTGGAAAATTGACAACAAAGAAAATTTATTGAAATTTTAATATTTTATTGATCATTTAGTAATTCAAAGAGAATGAACGCTGCTAGCTTACCATGGTGTTGTTTTTTCTTTATTCCAGACGATTACAGATATTAATTTCAATTAAAATTTAAGATTTTACGAAAATAACATAGAAAGTTTTCATTTCTCTACATAGAAAATGCTAAACACACTCAATTGAATCTCCTCAATTTACTGAACAAACCAAATTATTTCTAAACGCACTCAATTGATTATAAATTTGTGATTTTAAGAAAGTTCTTATTGTTAAGCACAAAAATGGCTTCATTCTTACCGATTCATGGTAACGAACAGATTAAAGAGAAAACGAAAACATCAAATCAATCAAAACAGCTGCCGAAAGATGCTCAAGTTATCATTTCTATCTTGAGGTAATTTTGTTTGTTCAGTTTCATTGAAAAAAAAATTATTTTTGTTTATTTAATATTACAGAGATTTGGGGATTAACGATTTCGAGCCTCGAGTTATAAATCAACTTCTTGAATTTACCTATCGATATGTTACAACAATCTTGGACGATGCAAAGTAAGGGAATTTATTGAAATGTTTATTTCGATTATTCCAAATGTTTGTATTTTCAGAGTTTATGCCAGTCACTCAAAAAAGAAGGGAATTGACTTAGAAGATGTTAAGTTAGCATCAACAATGCTTTTGGACAAATCCTTTACTGGGCCACCACCAAGAGAAGTATTGCTTGAAGTAGCAAAACAGAAAAATTCTCAACCACTTCCTACAATCAAACCACATTCTGGCATCAGACTTCCTCCAGATCGTCATTGCTTACTTGCTGCTAATTATAAACTTCGTGCAGCAACGTCCCAAGCGCCAACAAAGAAACTTGTCAAGTCTGCTTTGGCTGATGGAATGTCAACAGTTAAGACAAAGCTTTCAACTACTGGTTCGTCTTCACCATCTGGAGCTGCAACAAAAAAGCCTACTTTGGGACAAACCGTTAAAGCCGCTGGACAAAGCATCGTGTCTATCCCGAAGCCTGTTTTTAAGGTAGCAAAACCGATTGTCAATAAACCTCGTCCATTACCAACTTCGGCAACAAGTTCGAGTCATCAGCAAGGCATCGTAACAATTAAAATGGACACAGATAGTGAAAGCTCAGGATTGAAAAGAAAGCGATCTGATGATTTCGATTCATTATCTTAGAATTTTATTTTTCATAACATTATAATGAGTAATAATAAAAAATCAAGCTAAAATTTAACTCTTTTTAAATGCTAGAATTGTTGCGAAACCAAAGTCCATGATTTGAATAAATTCACTTCCTCCATTCATAAGACGAAAAGAAGATTCTCCGAGTTTATCAAAGATTTCGCTTTTCTGATCATTTGTTATGGTATCATCAGCAATAATCATGTCGTTCAATTGGTCAAAGAATTGTGACACGCTGTAAGCTTCAAATAGAAATTCGTTAATGAACGTCTCAAGCTTTTTGTGATCTTTTGCTTTGCAAATGTCAAGAAACTCAATGAGATAACAATTTGGAATGATTCCAGACATTTCAAGAATATCGTTGAGTGTTATGATATTCTCATCATTCACTCCACATTTAAGACGATAACATGAATGAAGGGTTGTGATTGCTTTTCTCATATCACCACCAGACACTTCAACTATGCTCTTCAAAGCACCGTCTTCGACTTTAAGTTTCTCTTCTTGACAAATAAATTCCAGTCTTTCTATAACTTTCTCCTCACCAATTGAAGTGAATCTGAACTTTGAACAACGAGATGTTATAGGATCGATGATTCTTGAAACGTAATTGCAAACAAGACAAAAACGTGTCGTTCGAGTTTCTTTTTCCATTGTCCGACGTAGAGCTGCTTGAGCAGCATTAGTCATAGCATCAGCCTCATCTAAGATAACAATTTTAAATGGTGGACATGGTTTACCATCGGGTCTTGTTGAGCTTGCTTTGAGTTGAGCGAAATTTTTCACTTTATTACGAATAACTGCAATACCGCGGTCATCAGATGCATTCAGTTCCAATACTCGCTCTTTAAAGTAATCTCCAAAGAGCTGACGAGCAGCTGCAAGAATTGTGCTGGTTTTACCGGTACCTTTAATGCAAGATATCATATGAAATAAAATTATAATTTGTTTAACTTTAAACTTACCTGGAGGTCCATAGAGAAGTAAATTTGGTAGATCTGAGCTTTGTAAAGATTCTCTTAGAACAGCACAAACCTCTTGTTGCTCCACAACATCATCAACATTTTTAGGACGATACTATAATTATAATTAACGTGTTTAATCTCAGGGCAGCACACAAAATTAAACTATTTTTACCTTTTCCACCCAAGGTAGCGGTTTTTCTCTTTGTTTCTTATCCTTTGCAGTTTTCTGGGTGCCAACTGTTGGTTTGCTTATAGCTTTACCTCCTTTAAGAAATGCTTGCATCATCGCCAAATTAATATTATTACTTCAATTAGGTAGGTAATTCTCTTCAATTTACTCGTACTCTTGAAAAACATAGAATTTGGAAGAATGGCGCGAAAAAATCATCGAATTTATTTGCCGAAAGTGTCACAATTAGTAATAAACTTTAAAAATCTAGTGAATAATCCGAATTTTGGAGTTCATTAAATTGTTTACTACAAGAGAAGTGATAAAACAGCATTAAATTTAACATTTTCAATATTTGCCAATCATATTCTTGGAAAATTTAAGAAAGCCTGTGGTTATATTTTATTGTGACATCATTGCAAATTCCACCACAAAAAAAGGTTGTAAACAGTTTCAAAGTTTCATTTTTTAAATAAATAACCAAAGACGTGTAAGAATGATGGAAGTTGATTCCGTAGAAGAACAACATATTGTTAATGGATCAATGATGAAGAATTTCGTAGGAAAAACAGTACGAGTATTCTTAAATGTCGAATTTACTTCAACCGGTGGAAGAAAGGTTAAATTTCACAATCTAATTAAATACTTTTTGAAAATACGAAATTGACATTCATTTAAGATTTCAGGAAAATCTACTGATAAAACTGTAGTTAATGTTGCTCTTGAATCACCATTGAATCAACCTTTATCGGGATGGATTGAAGTGATTGGTAAACCAGTTAGCGCTTCAACTTTAAACTGCTCAGAGGTAAGATTGACATTTTTTAATCCTAGATTCTGGATCGTCTAGATCATTTTATATTTGATAGATCATTGTATTTCCACATGATGAAAACGCTGAACCGTTTGATGAAGAGTCTCATAATGCCTTAGTTATGCTGATGAACAACATGCGTGACTTCTATGACAATGGAGCCGACTCAGCTTTTTAAATCTAAGATATCTTGTAAAAATCGTATCAATAAATATTCCTAATTAAAATAGAAAAACAGTCGCAGTTGTCCTTATTAATTGGCCTTAAAAATATTTTAATATCTTTTGAAATTGAAAACTCGAGTGAAGATGAATCCTAACTGGAGTCAATTACGTCAGAACTTGCAATCAACCAGCGAAGAAGTACAAGCAGAAACTATTTTAAATCTGCGGAAAATTGTCAATGTAACTCACCCACCTATAATAAATCTTGTTGAATCGGAAATGATACCTTTAATCGTTGAACTTTTAGACTCATCAAAGTAGAAAAATAAAAGTTGAGTTAGAAATTTGATTTCTTAATAAAAATATTTTACAGCGTGCAAATTCAAAGTGATGCTACCTGGATTCTCATTAATGTGTCGTTTGAATCATCGACATACTCAATTTCAATTTTTAATGCTGGTGGCATTCCAAAGCTACTACAATTATTGAAATCAACGAACATCCAAGTTGCTAACAACTCAGCTTGGGTTCTCGCAAATCTCTGTGGTGATAACCAAGATTTTCGTGATAGAATCATAGAAGCTCGAGCAATACCAATAGTAGCTGAATGTCTTCAATCTCCGAACATCAATTTGAGATTCCTTCAATCTTTGGTGTGGTTCGCACTCAACACTGTTCGAAGTTCTCATGACAACTTAGACTCAGTTTCTCTTCTCATCCATCCAATCTTGAATCAGTTCACAAAAACTGATGACCGTAAAGTGTTAGTCGATGCATGCTGGTTTTTTGAATTCATCATGACTCGAAATCGATTCATTCCATCAGAAATTATTTCTGATCTTCTCAATCATTTAAATGTTTTTATGAACAACAATTCAAATTTTTATGTCTTGCAAGCTTCACTTCGTGTTATTTCAAGCGTTTCCATGAGACGTCATTATCGTTATAGCGAGCAAATCATCAATTCAAATATACTTCCGACTCTTATCAGATTCATAACTGATGAAAATGATGTTGTTTCAAGATTGGCTTGCTTATGTTGTCGTCAATTTTCTTCATGGAGATTTTACGGAGGTAGCGGAAACATTCAAAGTCATTTGTTTAATCATGATTTGATTCCAAAACTAACATCATTATTTGAAAGTGATGATCGGCTTTGGAGATCCAAGCGTGAAGGAATTTGGTTACTGAAAAACATCATAAATATCGATTACAATCATCGTTTGGAGATAACAAGCAATGAAACTTTATTTAATGCTGTCTTGAACACATTAAACTCTCAAAATGTTGAACTTGTCAAGGAAGTTTTAAAATTTTTTCAACATCTGAATTATGTTACTCTCAGCAACGAAGTCGAGTTTCTTGAAATTCTAAGATCGTGTGATTTTCAAAAGCATTTGGAAGATATTTTGGATCATGTCAGCGATGAAATTCATTCACTTGCGTACGAACTTTTGAGACAAGTTTTCCCTGAAGCTGTAAATATTGCTTATAATTTCTAATTGAATTAACGTTTAAATTTCTTATTTTATACTTAAAGGTTCCTAATTCTTTGTGTAATTATTTTGCATCACCTGAAGAATAACTTTTGATAATTATTTACATATTTTTTCATTTATTTTCCATTGAAAAATGAACGTCAACAATCTTGTTCAGCTTCAACCTTACAATAAACATAAATCAGCAAACTCAACATATTTTTTTTAATACTTTTATTAAATATTCTCAACATTATTTTAAAGTTTGTATTTTTCAACAAGCTTCAAAAGCTTTTCAAGCATTACAATGTTACTTGTTTCTGATGTAATTTCAATGATTTCACTTGTTGAAATTTTAGACAGCGTTTCCATTGGCAGTGGAATCACGATTTTGGCAACACCTTTGCAACAAGAACCTAGAGTTGAACGTGACAATAATATTTGAGGTCGATTATCATCACAACACGTGTCTGAACATTCTTTATTCTCATTTCGATATTGCGGTGTCAATGAAGCTCTTGCATCTGGTGTGAATGTATTAATCGGTGGAATGTAATTATTATTTAAATTACCTGAAGAAATCTTTGGAGTGAGAGTTAACACATTGGACGTTACACCACCTGTTGAAGGAATTGATGACTTAGTATCTGTAACGATGGGTTCTTGCTTTATTTTTGATGAATCACTTGGAGGTGTTGTTGCTGGTTTTCCAGCTGAAATTTCCTGACTTTTCAATTCTTCGTAAATTTTTTGTTTCTCAGTTGTAGGCGTTTCATTAAGATTTGTTGGTTTTTCTGACTTTGGTGTCTCTGTTACTTGATTTGGTGAAGCTTTCCCACCTGATTGATCTGATGGTGGAAAGTCTAATTCACGCCCTTTCTTTTGTTTTCCATTTGATGTTATTGAACTTGTCCCTGATAGTTTTCCAGCTTCTGATCCTGGTGAAGTTTGCTGTGGCTTTGTAGCTCCTTGAGAAGCACCATTTAGCAAACCTGATTTCACTTCAATCTTCTCTATTTCGATTTTAGGTGACTGACAACCTTCCGGGAAGAAGTAACGAATATTTTCACTTCTGATTTCTTCTTCATTAAAAGACTGTACAAAAGAAGCTTTTCTGTGATGTGAAAAGAAAAAAAAAAAGCTTTCAAGAATGCATGAAAAAGCTCGCAATTAACTTACCTCGCTTCTCCTCCGTCTTTAGGATAAACGGTTATCAAATCTTGATGCGGAACTAACCGGTACCCTTTTCCATCAGCCACATAATGAGTCGAATACATTTTTCCATCTTGCTCGTGTCCATAACAACCTAGTCTGACACCATCTTCAGCTATTTAATCAAGACATCAGAACAAATAACAATAAAAATTAAGTTAAAAAATTTATTTAACTTCAATCCAATTAAATATTAAAACCTGTTTTTGTGTGATGGAATTGTTTATTCTCTTTGAGTTCAACACCGAAACGATGTTCGTCTTTCTTTCCTGTGAACTTATAATCAAGCGATTTTGGATTTGCAACGAAATATTTGATTCCTAAAGGATCAGCTTCCGGACTTGTGTTGATTGTTTCAAGTGTGACAATTGTCAGAAATGTCATCTAAATGAGTTTATAGATTAATTAGTTTATTTACCAATATAAAAAAAGAAAGAAATATTGACATAAAACTTCTTTCATCTCCCCGACATAATTTCATAATGCTCTCTAAAATCATTTTTTGAAAATCATTTTCAATGCTATACCGGTTCAAAAAAAAATCTAAATATGTTAAAGCGATGACGACATGACAGTGTTTAATTAATATAAGTCGATACCCGAAAAAGTCTCCAAGGTAATGGCGAGGTTTTAACTTATTTCCCAACTATTGTTTATAAACATGACGAATCAGCTGATAAATAAACTTTCGCAAAGGTCAACTTTACACATAATTATCATGCTTATGGTTGAACGGTGCATAATTCAATAATGATCATTTGAATATTGATTGAAATGTGATGAGAGCCATCAATAATACTTAAAAAAAATTTTGAATGGGATCCAATTTGAAATGATTTGAAAGCTTGTAACCAAACACCTAAGATATCGCAAATAAATTTATTTTGCCTTTGCACAATCATCTCCTGTATGATTGTCAACCACCATATATGATTTAAATATGTCAATTATTGACCATGGTGACTGTAAATCACGTCGTGTACATGACACAACATACCAAAATCTTCATCATTATGTCTTTTGTCTAATAACTTGAAGTTGTCACTTAAAACTCTTCTCGAGCGCTGCTTGAATTTGAATATTTTTCACTTCTTTATTTTTCTATATTTTACTTCTTTTTTTCTGTTTCTTCACTTCACTTTGTCCGAATGTCGTTTAAGAGATGATCACCGGTCAAACGATTTCGCGAGACTAAAAACTGATATGTCGCGTTGTTCGATCTTATACTTCAATCTCAAAAAGCAAAAACATTTTCTATTTCAACAAAATCTTTTTTTCAAAAAAAAAATCTATGAGAATTAAATCACGCTTGATCGATATCAGAATAGAAACCTCTTGACTTAGGTCAGTAAAGTCGTTGTCGATAGTTTCGTGAGATAAGCAAATAATTGTCATGCAAATCTTATCGACCAAGCATCTTTTCTGCCCACTTAAAACGCTAAGTAAGTTTGTTCGCAGTTCAGTCTAAGAAAAAGTAGTTCCTGGTTCTAACTTAAGCAATTAGTAATCTGTTGACTTAACGAGACTTATTGCTCACGCTTTTAAATAAACCGTGCTTCATGATGAACTTGTTTATCTAAATTCGTAAAACAAATGCAGAAAAACATTTTTCCCTTTAATGTCCAATGAATCGTGCTTGAATTTTAAAATGTCAAAACAAACTAATGTCGTAAATTTTCTTTATTTCAGACGCATTTCAGACGAATTCAAGAATGTTAATCAATTCTTTAAATGATTGACAATTGAAATCAGTACATGTGTTTACATTTTTCAACGAGTTTCAATAATTTAAGAAGCATAATGACGGTATTTGTTTCTTTCGATATTTCAGCAATGTCTGACAAAGGAATTCGATTGATGATATGCATTTCGATTGGAACTATAAGTTTAGCAGTTTGATTACACTCTGAGTCAGCACGTGGCAGAACTAATTTAGAAAGATTATCGTCACAACAAATGGGTTCGATTACTGATGCTACATATGGAACAGGAATTTCAGGATAAATTGTCGTTTCTTCGGGAAGAAACGTCGTAGTTTCTGGTTCGGGAGTCTCTGTCGGAATTTCAATAACATCATCCTTCTTCTCGATAATCACAATTTTGTCATATTCAATTCCTGGAGCTTCGCATCCATCAGGGAATGTGTAACGAGCGAAAGGAGTTTTAACGTCCGCCATTCCAAACTCCTTCACAAATGTCGCTTTTCTAATTGATTTACAAAATATCATTTCAATTAGATAAAATCATTTAATTGACATAAATTACCTTGGTTCGCCACCATCTTTAGGATAAACTGTAACAACTCCAGTTTTCGGTGTTAATCGATATCCTTTAGCATCAGCCACATAATTTGTTGTATATTTCTTTCCTTCCAATTCATATCCGTAGCATCCAAGTCTTACACCATCTTCAGCTGATTGGGAAATAAGTCACACAAGATGATGATAATCAATTCAATTTAGCGAATTAGCAAAATATTGAATTAATCTAACCTGTTCGTGTGTGGTGAAACTGCTTGTTGTCATCAAGCTCCAATCCAAATCGATGTTCTTCTTTCTTTCCAACAAGCTTATAGTTAAGCGATTTAGAGTTAGTTATGAAGTAGTCCGTTTTGGCAGGCGGTGTTGCGCTTTGAACGACATTGTAGATAGAAACGAATGCGAATATTGCGACCTTTGATTATAATCAACCATTTAACATGAAATCGATGAATCATTTAAGATATCAACTTACCAAAATATTTTTCATATTAAAGCTGAAATTGATTTTCCAATGTACCTAATAAAAAATAAAATCGATCTTAATTCAGATGGCGGTATTTAACAGTGAAGAATGTTCTTTAAGACTGATGAACCATGACAGATTGTGATTGATCTTATATATCACTCAACTCATAAGCAATTATTTTTATTGTCCCTTCAATGTATAAGTGAATTATTTTGTGGTTTATTTTAAATCAAATTTGTTTTTAAGATAGGTCAGTGACGCTTCATCATTCTTTTGAAGTTTAAATATTTGACCATATTTGAAGAAAACAAACAGAAAAAAGGTCATCAGAGAATATTCTAACAAATAAAAGTAAAAGTTATCGGCATCGCTTTAAGAGTTTTGTCTAAAAATAATAAAGAAAAAAATCTACAGCAAACAAATCAGTTGAGAATGGCAAAAGCGTTATCGAAAATATGTTTTGCTAAATGTCGTGGTCGCAAAATACATTTTAAATATTATAGATGAAGTTCAATGATTGAAAGGTTGATGGTAATCTAGTTTTTCTTGTTGAAAATTTGTGAGATATTATTTTTGAAACAAGTTTTATCCATAAAGAAAAAATCAAATCAGGTTCAAGTTCGTTTATATTTTTCTGGCTGGTTTCTGGAGCGTTAATATTGTATTGCTAATTCCAGTCGTTTATATGTAGATTAGAGCGACGAATGAAATAGATGGGACGTCGCTCTTGTTGATATTCTAAATGCAAAGATCAAGAACGGCAGCTTGCTTAAATGTTTACACACATGCTGTTCCTTTTATTGAAATTTCAATAGAAACTGAAAGCAAATGATGATATTGAAAGATGAGATTCTTACTAAAAACAAGAAAAGTTAGTTGTAAAAATCTCTTCGTTAAAGTTTACTTGTTTAAAGCTTATCAATCAAGAATGGATCTCTTTAATAATTGGCATCATATTACCATAAAATTCTTCTAATTTGAATGTTTTCTTACTAATGATAACAGATGAAAATAATTTACAAATTTATCTCTTCATTTTTATTAGAATCTAACTAAAGTTTTGAAAATAAAAATTTGGGAAATAATCATAAATTAGATACATAAAATTTCATTTTTAGAAGAAGGTAACATGTCAAATCAAACTGCTAAAGATTGAAGACGGTCAAAAGTAATAAATTTCTTTCTAAACAATGCGCTTGAATGAAATTTCGCTGACATATGCAAGGTAAATCTTGTTTGAGTTTTATGAATGAATAAATTTAACGTAAATTTTACCAGTTCAACCTGCTTGTGAAGATATTTCTAAAAGTCCTGTTAAAGTTCATAGAGTTCATTTGAAATTTAAATATTTTTTCGTGTTTTGAAAAAGAAAGAAATACTTTGTGTGAATATTTTAGTTTAAAATGTTTGGATTTCTAACAGGTTTGCAAAAAATGGAAGCTTTGAATGTTTGAAACTAAGCTTTCTAGAGAATGTGGACAGAATTAAAAGCTCAACTGAAATTAAAAGAAAAGCTCAAGGAAGATGATTCTGTAAAGAAAAGTTTGATATAAGGAAGATACAAAAAACCAAACAAATTACTGTCTCCAAAAATTTTTGGGATAATTCGTTTGTTCTCGAAATTTAAATTGTTTTAAAATTTTAAAATTCATATCTACAAATTCAGTTCGATGCATGGACCCCCGAAATAAAATAGTACGTGAAACTGACGATGACGATCACGAACTTTCGTAAGTTTTAGCTGTAAATATAAATTTAAAATATAAATATTAGGAAAATGCCTTGAAAATATATGTAGCGCGGGTTTGCATTGTAACGGAAAGAAAATTATATTTCTTGGAAGTTTACATCACATAAATACATAAATTAATTTGCAATTAAAATTCTTCCTTACTTCTTTCTTTCAAAACATCGTGCCATTAGTACGATTCACAAACATAATTTTTCATTATGACAAGCACTATGAGTTTAGTTCTAAGTTTTTCTTTGACAGTATCTGAGAAGTGAAAATTTATCTCATCCAAATATTTAATTTCTACAACGTTATCGATGAATGCTGACATTTTTATTATTCGATTTCGTGAGTAAAATGCAAATGGTTAAATTCACAATTTTCAATCCATGATATTGATTTTCAGGACGTCAACTTTCTTCAAATATTTTTTCACAGCATTGTAATTGGATGTTGAGAGCTTCCAAAATCACTCAAAACATCTTCTCAAACCGCCGCTAGGTACCTACCTAAAAATGGTGGCTGAAAATTACATGCATGAATATGAGCAATCATTGATAAAATTGCCTATTTTCATTTCTGTTATTTTATGATTAAAATTATGATTTAATAAAATTGTAGTACTACAAATTGTTCCATTTCTAATCAACTTTTAATCTGTAGAAACAAATTTTATTAATTTTTTCAGGAAATTGGAAAAAAATGTAAAAATGTACTCCGTAGCATGGTACATCAAAAAAAAGCTGAATATGAAAAATCTGTTTTTTCAGAATTCTCTATTATTAATTCTTAAAAAGTTCACATGAAGACAGTTTGTCAAAATTTCTTAAAACTAAAAAGATATAGCCATAAAGAAACTGAAACTTTGTCGAAAATAGTTATCCTAAAAATTGATTTTCACCAAATATAAAACTGATGATAACGTAAACTTTAGATATTTCAACCCGATTTAAGTGTGTTTCATTTAAGGGGTTGCTGAGCATTGTCACGTGCCATTTTTCAACTTCATTTTTCTATGTTTCAAATAAAGACTGCTTTTTATCCCAACAATGAAATGTGAATTACAAAAAGAAAGAGAAACGAAATACCATTACGGTAAATAAAACATATCTATCTATCTATAAAGAAAATTTTAATTTTCGTTAATTTAATTATTTTCAAGGATCCTTAATTTCGTCAGGTATAGGGATGTTGTAAACATTCTCCAGAAACCATTTGAATGGTTTGCATTTATTCCTTTCTTTAATTTCAATTTGTTTTGAAATGTCACCGAAATCTGGAGAAGTATTTGTAGCACGATAATAATATCGTTTATAGTCATCAAGCCAGATTTCAGCCATACGACCAGTATTCCATCTAAATCCCTTCCCAGGTTCCTTCAATGTGGAGATAGAATTAGAAAATTTCAAAAAGTTTTAGGAAACTGATCCGCACTTACTGTATACTTGTGAGTTCTATATACATGTGCTAAAAATGAACAAGGAATAATCTCAACTTCTCCGCCACAAAGCCATACCTTAAGGCTTAATCTATTGCGTTTAAAAGATTATTCATCATTACCAAAAATTTGTAAAAATTTATATAAAATATGTGAACTCACTCAAGGTCTTCTCCTCCCCATATGGTTTCGGGATCATACATTCCAAGTTCCATGAAAAAATCCTTTGAAATGGTGTGGCCAGTTGGGATTGTGACAGTTTTGTGAGGCTCGTAGCGTTCTTTCTCTTCGCATCGCTGCATTTTCTCGTGTTTCATCCTATAAAATCGTAAAGCCTTGATCAGAGTTGAAGTTTTTTTTAAATGTTTATGTTTAAAACTTACCAATTCATATCTAATTTCCAGTTTACGCCATTAATGTAGCTTAAGTCTCTTTGCTTTATAAGAGGTTCAAATGTAGTTGCATGAACACCGCAAAGAACGGGAACCACAAGTTTCTTTTTGTTCCCAACAAATCGGTCAAGAATTGGTTCAAGCCATCCAGGGGCAACCTCAACGTGACTATCAAACTGAAAATTTTTTAATTAATNCGCTCTATTTCGAGACAATGAATTATATCATTATTAATGTAAAAACATAAATGTTTATTAATTTCAACCTTTATCAGAGGCATCATCAATAAGGAGAATTTCTTCAACATATTTTAGAGGGGATCGAAGCAATATTGAGTGCAATGTCCGCATAAGCAGCATCCATTCTTCGTTATGAAATGGTATCACGATGGAAATCCTTTATTTTATAATTAAAATTTGGAAACTAACATATTATGAACACATTAATAAAATATTTATTTTAATTACTATTTACTTGGGTAAATTTTCGTGGTAAGTTTTGTTTTTACAAATTTCACTTCTAAAGTCTGGAATATTTCGATTCAGGCTGATCATATTTGATATAAAAACATTGAATCCAAACTTTTCTTTTCCTTCATCTATCAGTTTTTTTATTTCAACAGACGTATTTTCAGGAAGAATTATTGGTTCGCCATTTTCTCCTGGATTTTTCAGGCCTAATTCTTCTATGTATTTCTTAACTTCATCAGTAATTCCATCTTCTAGGTCAAAGTTATTATGTTCTGTCAGAAGTTCATTTTTGACACTTATTAATGCACTATTTGATAGAAAATTATACATCATGTATGCAACGTTTAGAAAGGAAAATGCAAATAATAATAAGCCGGAACGAAATTTTTTACAAACATTTCTTTTACGCAATATTGAATTCATATTGAAATAATCTAAATAAACATATGTTGAGTAGAAAATGTTTTTATCACTTTAAAAGATGCTTCTCGTTTTGAAGTTTAATTAAAACTGAAACTTTTCCAATTTTAATATTATTAACAGAGTTGCTTCGAATCATTGTTTTTTTCTAATACAGTCATCTCTTAATAAGAAGACAGTACAGGGGACCAGAGAAAACTCTTATGTTGAGTGAAATTTAATATCGGGGGAATTCAACCGCAATTAGATGTCAATCAAATGATTAGATATCAGAGTGTTTACTGACGATCGCTGACTTTCACAAGTTTTAGCGGTAAGTATAAATTTAAAATATGAATATTAGAAACGTACCTTCAATTTATATGCAGTGCGGGTTCGTATTGTAACGAAGAAAGATTTCTAGGTAATTTACATCACATGAAGAGATAAATCTAATTGCAGTAAAACAAATTTTCTTTCTTTTATACCTCAAAGCTTATTTTCATTAAACGTAAAGTTAAAATTGTAAACTGAAAAATATAGGATTTATCTGAACATTCAAAAAACAATTGTTCTCAATTTCCCTGCAATTTTCCTTCAGATTGAAATACTAAATCATAACATTTAAAAAGTTAGGTACTTTAACAAATTTGCATGCTCATAGTTTAGATCCAAAAATATTATGTGATCTGGGAAAAACCTTCATATTGTATTTTTTATGTTCATTTTTGTATTGCACATATTATTTACAGAAACAAAAATTATTTATTGAGTATGAGTTCTTCAGCAATACTATGCTTAAATTATTCACAATATTAATTTCTTCTACTAGAGCCGCCAGAACCACCATATCCACCATGACCGCCAGAACCACCATGACCTCCAGCACCACCATTTCCACCATGGCCTCCAGCACCACCATTTCCACCATGGCCTCCAGCACCACCATTTCCACCATGCCCTCCAGCGCCGCCATTTCCACCATGACCTCCAGCACCACCACCTCCACCATGACCGCCACCTCCACCATGGCCTCCACCACCACCTGATCCACCATGGCCTCCACCTCTTCCAGCGCCTCCAGCACCACCTGAGCCTCCTGCACCACCTCTGCTGTTGGGACCAGATCCACCATGTCCGCCAGCGCCACCACCTCCTCCAAAACCTCCACCTTCACCTTCTCCACCTTTTCCACCATGACCTCCATCCCCTCCTTCCCCACCTATTCCAAAGGAACTGCTTTCACCACCTTTTCCAGCAGTTCCTCCAGTGCCACCTTTTCCACCACCGAACCTTCCTTTTGATCCATCTTTGCCATATCTTCCATCTTTTGCTTTTTTCGCTTCTTCTTGAAATAAACTTGTCATGATTAATAAAATTTCAAAAGAAAATTTCAAACTGATGTATCACGAACCATCTGTGCACACAAGCATCAGAACAATAAAAACAGTGAGCTTATTCATTTAATTCAAAGTATTTTTCCTAATAACTTCTCAATACTGATGTCAAGATAATAATACACTTTTATTCAAATTTGCGCAACTTAATATAGCCATTTTGAAGAGAGAGAGAGAGAGAGAGAGAGAAAGTTTCTATGAAAGTGAGCTTTTACAGCAGAGGTAAGAAATATTTTTAGTCTCAAAGTATTTCGCTACAATAACAGATGTTTCCAACTTCCATCATTTCGAAGCTTTCACATATATAATAATATTGATGGTTGACTAAAAGTTGATTTACTGAGTATTGGGAATTTTCTTTGCCTTCTGAGAATTTATTTGTGTCTAGTTCAACATAATTACTGATAGTTTAAGTTAGGTATTTGGATTTAAAAAATTTTCATGAGTCGACAGAATCATTATTTTCAAAAAAATTAAATAAAATTTTGAGCCTGTAAGTTATACGTAGTGCGGGTTTATAATTTAAACGTTAATCAAAAATCAAATTTTTCAGAAACTTACATCACAGGTGATGTAGATTAGAAGTTGCTAATTCCGGCTGGTTTTAATACCGTTTTTTTCGGTATTTTAAAACCGTCGTGAGATTTTTCATGTGAAAATAAGAAAATGTTTTCAACTTTTAGCTTTAAATTCAATTTGAAATCTTGATATTTAGCTAAAAGTTGAAAACATTTTCTTATTTTCACATGAAAAATCCCAAGACGGTTTTAAGATACCGAAAAAACGGTATTAAAACCAGCCGGAATTAGCAACTTCTACTCTACTTAAAAATTTGATATAATTTTCTGAAAATATTTTAAAATATCTAACACAAAGATAAACAACATTTTTAATTTAAGTTAACAATTTTATTTTGAAATTTTGTAATCGAATTTTACATGACAAATTCATGAGTTTATACGGATAAAAAAAACATAAACCTCATCAATTTTCAATATCAGACATATTAGTAATTTTATGAGACGCTTTTCAGACTGATGTGATCTTACAAAACAAACAAACCAAACGGTATTCAAGAAAGAGATTGTAAAACGCTTTTGATTATTTCACTGGTGTCAGATCCCTTTGTAAGAGATTTCAAACTATCGGGATTTAATCCTTCTACGGGAATAATAAGTTTCACATATTTTTCACAAGAGTCAGAAGATTTCCCAAGAGATTTCATGGGTGCTTTTAAAACAAGTTTAGGAATTGAATCATCGTCTGAACAACAACAATTTTGATTTATATTTTTAGAAATTAAACTTGCAGGCACTTTCGTGAAAAGTGGGGCAGATGTAACAACTACAGGAGGTGGTGGTGGTCTCGTTGTTGGTGGAGGGGGTGGCTTTGGTGTGGTTGTTGGAGGTTCGATTGGAACGAATGGAGGCACAACGACGTTAATAGGTGGAAATGCTTCTTCTGTTATTAGCTTAGTTTCTTCTTTTGGGGGTGAAACTGGAATTTCTGTTTCCTTAAACACAAAAGGTGGTGGCATAGGCAGAACATTAATATCACTTCCTTTACATCCATCAGGGAAGAAATAACGAATGTTTTGACTTCTTTGTTCATCTTCATTAAAATCTCCAACAAATGACGCTTTTCTAAAGAATTAAATTCAACTTAGAATAGTTTTAATTATTTTAAAAAAAATCATGAAATTTCACCTTTCTCCACCAGATTTGGGGTAAACTGTAATTGGATCATGTGTGAAGACGGGACGATATCCTTGATCATCGGCAACATACTGAGTTGAATATTTTTTGCCAAATAAAACATAGCCATAACAACCTAAACGTACGCCGTCTTCTTCAGTCGTTGTATGATGAAAATGTTTATTTTCTTTCAGTTCATATCCATATTTGTGCTTATCCGAACCGACAAGAGTTGAAGAGTATTCATTTTTGTCTAGAATGTGTTGGATAGAACAGTATAAACGTGTAAGTTTCCGTGAAAACTTTTTAGTTATTTGTAATAAATTATTGAAAAAAAATCAGAAAATAGTATGAAAGCGTAGGCGTCAAGAAGGAAATTCTAATTCTTTGTTTAAAATATTATCATAGCTTTTAAGTAGGAGTTCTTTATACATTTTAAAATATTTTATTACAGTTTAAATTAATTGTGAGATATCAGATTTATCGTAAATTCTTTCGACTTTATCTACGAATATTTCACCAAAATTAAAATATTTAAATTGATGCAAATGCAACTGATGTAAAGCAAGAATGTAAATTTATTTTATCTAGTCATTCAATATTTTTTACTTTGCTATAAAACTATTAACATTGACATTTATTTGAACTGATAAATTTAAAATAACTCACTGGGATGGTCAATCGCTTGCGATGTCTCTTTCTGTTCGCCGTTGATATTCCCAAAAAGTCCAATAAAGAAAACCACACAAAGTATCTGCAACAGCACGTTTTGAAACATTAAAATAAATCTGTATCAAGTCGATGACTTAATTTTTTTGCACAAAAATGGTATCAACAACTTTTGGAATCATTCAAATCTTCAACTATTTCATAATTCTTTTTTGCAATGATTTCATTTTGTGGTTTTGTATTTCATTAATTTGGAAATTCCTAATGGTAAACTTGAAACGATTAAATGTTCTTATGTTGTCATAATTTCATTTAGTTTTAAATGGTTTTGATACAATTTCACGTGCATTTAGTATCAAAGTTCTAACTGATTCAACAAATTCCATTTTATTCGTATGCAATTTACTGAAACCAATTCAAATCCTTTCCAATCACATGCAATGAACCATTTTCAACCCACCACATTCATTATTTCCAATTTTATTTTCACTGATTGATTCACAATTTTTATGCAGATTCACTTTGCGAAAATTAAAATAAAGTCGAAATCACAAATCAAACAATCGAATCGATGAAATATTTGAAATATTTCGCGTCGAAAAACAAAGCAATTGATGCGCGTTTCACTTTTTAAAAATTGTGATCTGATTCGGATGAGACAACTCAATGGACTAAAAACTTAGTCAAGTTAACATCATCTTTTATTTGGATTTCCTTTTGGTTAAGATCTTCTCTCTTGAAGATAACACGACTGCATGTTACATAATACAACAGACGAGAGAAAAATATTTAAAAATATCTATCTGCCCGCGATTTATTTGGAGCTTTTCGTGTCGGCCTTCACTAGAAGCGGCTTAAGATTTAATAAACAAAATCAAAGAAATTTTGCTAGCAACTATTTTGATATCTCAAGTAACAGATTAGCTTCGAAGTTGATTGGTATTGATGACCAAAAAATGACCAAAATGTCTATTCACGAGACAAAGGAGTAGGACTCCTACATCATTTCGGTTTTCAAGTTCAAGAATATTTTCAAGGTAAATAAAAGCGAATGTTCACAATAAATAATGAGATGAGACAATTTAAGCGACATAGGGAGATTTCAAATTTTATCTACTTCAGTTTTGTTTGTTCATCTTCACATCCGTGACTGGTGATTATCTTCAAAGTGATGAACAAGCTTAACCATTATTAACTCATAACTTATTTTTTTTAAGGAGTTGTGAAATTTATTTTAATTTCCTTTTTATAAGTTTGGTAATTTCATGCCATTCATCAATAATTTGTCGAAAATATTTTATGGTATTTGGAACGGTAGGCTTAATAAACGAAGAAGATTTTTTTATTTATGAGTCATTACAAAGTATGTCAAACATCTTTGACTTGAAATTCTAATTTAAGAATTGCCACTCAACTTAACTTGGTTATAATCCGAGACTCAGTAATAAAATGTATTTCTTTAATTACTCACGAAACTGCAATTATAAGAATTTTAATTCACTTTAAGAACTTTATTTGAATATCGGAAATTACAGCAATAAATCTTCTCACATGTTTTAAAACTTTATTGAGAACATCCTCGCGTGTCATCATTTTCCACTCTTCACTTAAAATTATAATTTTATCACCACAAATTAATATTGATGCAGTTTATTCTCACCTTTGAAATCTTTAAGATTTCTGAATAAGGAAGAAAGCAATAAAATGACGCCCATAAAATTTAAAACCATTTTTAACCAAAAAATCAATTCTTAACAATGGGAACAACTGGGAAAATGCCAAAACCATCTCATCAATTTCTTACTTAATTTGATGTCGTTTTTCAGTATTTATTTTACTGTCAAATAAAGTTCTTAGACATTCCTAGTGGATTAAAACAAAAATATTGAAATGCCAAGATTTTGATCTGGATTCTAAGTTTGTCTATTTCAGGAAGTTTATTGGAACAATGCGATGCGAAAAAACTTGTTCTATAAAATTATTCACGTGCTTGTTGTTGATTTTGTGTCTAGAAATGATTTTATCACCTGTCAATGAATGAAATTGTTAATTATTTTGATATTCTTAGGATGTTCTTCTTATGGTGTTCCCTAAGTTTTTCATACAAGAAAAACTTTCAATTTTCCCACGAAAAGTTTCGATATTTCATAGAAAAGCGACAATTATGAGATCAAAACGATCTTTGACTGGAATTAACGCAAGAAAGTGAGTCACATGCTCACAAACAGAGCTGATGTAGATTGTGGTTCTAGATAATCGTCGAATCAAAATTATCAATGCTAGCTCTGCCTCCAGTCACTTGCTAGTGATTTGAATGATTGTCAAATTTATATGATAACGATAATGATGTGCTTAAAAAATCTTTTATCTTTGAATGATGTTAGGTAAACTTTTGTTAAATGTGTTTCGAAATTCGAAATGATGAAAAACAAAATTCAGTGAATGTACAGTGGAACTTTGATAAACAGATATTTCAAGGGACACAAAAAAATATCTGCTTATCAAGGATATCTGTTTATCAAAGTAGCTGTTTATCGAAGTTCTACTGTACATAAAAAAGATTTTAAAAGAAAACATCGAGATAAACTTTAATGACAGAGAAACGACGAACTTCTCAGAATTTTAAGAAGCAATTAATCTTATAAACCTGAAACAGAAGCTTTTTCCAAAAATGAAGCAGTAAAAATGTCTTAAATTTATAAATAATGTAAAGTCACACTGATGTTGTATAAATCCAGACCTTGATCCAGACATCGTGGCGATGCATAACAGCAAGGTGAATGTACCACAAATGTTTATGATTTAATATCTCGTGGGTGTGTAACGGGAACAAACTCTCAGTTATCATCAATGCAGAAAAACAAAAGGAAAAAATTAAAATTTTCGCTATAAATTAGTCAGTATTTAAATTTTTATTCGATTTTAATGGACACGATCAAAGAAGACTTTTGAGAATATTTCTGATCAACTCTTTCGCGTCGATTTCTTCGATCATCGATTCTTTCAGTTTTTTAACGCTGTCGTGATCAAATTGATTTAATGGCAAAATTAATTCAGCTGTTCTCGCACAACATTCATTTGAATTGAAGTTCTTGAGTGGAATTGGAATGACAAACATTCCACCAGATTTCTTTTGACAACATGAATTGTCACATTCAGGAAGCACTGGTGGTCTCAATATTGCAATATTTGGACTCAATGGTGGTTTTGGTTTTGGTTTTGTAGCTTGTGTGACTGGTGGAAGATAAATGTGTGATGGTTTCGGTGTTGTGTTTGGTGGTAAATAAATATTCGATGGATCTTTAGGTGGCAAATAAGTGTTTGGTGGTTTAGGTGTAGTCGGTGGCAAATAAGTAATTGTTGGCTTGGCTTTTGTTGTAGTAGCAGGTGGTAAATATGTGTTTGCTGGTTTCGGAACAGTTGGCGGTGGCAAATACAAATCATTAGGACCTTTTGGTGGCAAGTAAACAGTTGGAGGCTTATTTGGAGTTCCATTGATTTGATTTGGAGTGTAGATGTGAAGTGGACCTGGTGGGATGTAAGTGTTAGGTGGCGTACTATAAACATATGGCTTGTAAGTTGTTTTCAATGTGACAGGAAGTTTTGGCTGAACATCATTGAGGTCATCTTCAGGTTCATCGATATTTCTCAATCGTGAAGAGTTGTCAATCAATACATCAATGCCTTTGCAGCCTTCTGGGAAAACATACTGAACGTTTTCTGAAACCAATTCGTCAACAAATGATGCCTTTCTTTTAAATGTTAATAAAACAAAATTAATCATCAGAAATCATTTAAAACTTTTGTTTTTACCTTTTTCCTCCAGACTTTGGATAAACCGTTATAAGATCTTGGTTGGTGACGGTTCTATATCCACGCGAATCGGCAACATACTGAGTTGAATACTTTTTGCCTTCCAATTCGTATCCGTAACATCCGAGTCGAACGCCATCCTAAAGAAGAGAACGAAAAGCAGAAACCGTTAAAGCCTTTTTTTTCATCAATTTAATCCAATAAAAGATTTCTTGATTCTTCGGATGACCATCGACAAACGAAAAACAACTTTTGGTCATGAATAATCCTCTAAAAACGGCAAGTAAGATAATTTGTGCATGGCTGACAACCATCGCAAATATTTTTATGAAGGAAATAAATATTGATAAAAAGATTTGAAGCAGAAGTTCATTTGAAGATTCAAGTCATTAACTAAAGTAAATTGTATAAGTTTGTTCTTAAAAACTGGCTTTTGCTTTTCTGCTTTCTTTTTTTTCAACTTAAAAATTCTTTTTTTGTCGAGACTAACGAAAAGTTTTTGGTCACATTACAAGTAGAACGAAATGAAAATATTTAAAAATTCATGCAGAAGCACCAAAAGCATGTCTTAAATAAAATAAAAGTGAAACAAAGAAACAGCACAAAGAAGATGCTTGAAACGTAAATGGAATAATGAATGCAAATAATAAATCATCAGCTCACCTTCTCAGTCGTTGTGTGATGGAAGTGCTTGTTGTCTTTTAGTTCATATCCATATTTATGTTTTTCTGAGCCGGGCACTACTTGCGCATATCCGTTTTTGTCTGTTCGTTAAAAATTAACATCACAATCAATTTTGATAATTAATTTAATGACAAACTTCACACTCCGTCAACACATCAAATAACACGCTCAACTTAAGTGACTACCTAATCTTGATAGCTTAACTAACCAAAACGCGTGTCGAGCTGAGTGTTGTGAAACATTTTTTTCTATTTTTCAACTTTGTTTACCTGGATGATTGAGTGTCATCACCGAATCTGCATAAGATAATCCAAACGCTTCGATAATTATACATAAAATCACTGTCTGCTTTATCTGCAAATAAATACTTTTTTTAATAGAGTGAAGTGTAAAAAATTGAAAAGATTTCACACGAACCATGTTTGAAAGTGTTTTTAATGTTTTTTAGCGAGAGATTATCTACACTTAATTATCACAATTTATATAAATGTTTTTTCTTAGAATATTTAACTATTCAATGCACTATGAAATCTTTTTTAAAATCTTAAAAAAATGCTTCCACATTTACACTTTCCAATCGAGAAACCAGACGAGTCAAATATCTGTAGCGATCGCCCCGAAAACAAAATATCAACTGAAGAAATTTGTAATGTCAACATCAACCTTTATTTAAGTTCTCTTCGTTTCGAACTCAACGGTACCAAAAGTTATTTCATTTTCTTACAAAAAATAAAAATAAAATGCTTTGGTCGAAGAGAACGGAAAGCCAAAAAGCGAAAGACCCGAAAATGCTCGTAAAAAGTATCAAATTAAGGTGCAGATTCGATCAAACTTAACTCACGCGTTTTGATACGGGATGGACTTCGTCAATTCATATTATGAATTTATATCTATTCATTTAATTATGGTGATGAATCGTAGGTGAACCAAGTTCAAGTTTTTACCAAAATTATGATGACAAACAGTTAAAGTGGTTCGCTGATGATTGGAGTGCTCTCGAAAATGCTCTAAAAACTTTAAAAAACATTTAATCAGATAAAAAAATATTCAAAGAACTGCTGCTAAAAAAGAATCCAAAACATTTTACGAGATTATTGAACTTTATTGGAAAAAGATTTTTTAGTGAAGCATTCTAAGAAACGGCAATAACAAAGTTGGAAGTATGACGATTGCTGTGAAAGAATTTGCGTTATCAGCTGAAAGATGAATTTCCTTCTCGTCATAAGATTCTATGATCTTTCATAATTAACAGGTTCAATTGAAGTAAAGTTTGCTTTATTTTTCGTGCTATCATCTTCCAAACATGCTTAAACTTCATTCTGATAATGTTTTGCTTCCGTGTTACTTCATCCTTGGACATCTTGTTGAGTTAAAATTTTAGATGCAGAAGCGACGTCATCAGCAATGTCATTATTGGCAAGTTTTTCACATTCATTTTGCATTGACCACCAGGTCCATTGTTCTCACATTGGACATATTGGACCATATTGTGTCATTCGATATTTGTGCAGTGAACAAATGCTTATAAATTTCGTTTCATTTTTTCTTTAATTTGGTTATGAAGTTTTTTGCCAAATGCATTTTAATTGGTTTTAAATTGAATATATAAAATGAAATTGAAAGTCGCTCTCTTGATTAAAACTTTTATTTTAAAGTTGAACTTGAAAAACTTCTTAAATCTTTCAGTTATGCAAATAATTTGAGCTTCTCTCGTTCTCGCAGAAATTTTGATTGCCTTCGATTCGAAGTTTTGAAATGAACTCTACATACGGTTTAATTCACAACTTTAATAACTTTGAGTTTGAGGGATGATCAGAGCTTCTCTCTCAATCTCAAAAATTTTAAATATTTTACTTGATCTTCAACATAAAGTGAGATCATGTTTGATGATTTGAATATTGTGAATTACTTACAGAAAATTTTTGTTGTAAAAGCGACTGAAACGAGGAAAGATAATAAAAAGAAAATTCAACAAATTTTATTTCAAACAATTTAATTGTTA